AGTGAAGGTAAGGGGCTACTCATAATTTAAAATTATGGACAATGAAAATATAAAAATTCTCAAACCCTAAACTACAAAATCTAGCATTTACCAACTAAGTAATTTTCAGAAGCCTTGTGTCCTATATTTGTGGCATTATGAAATAACGTCTGGCTATTAAAACATTTCTTTAAGGGACTGTTTTAATTTTATTTGGCTATGCTTTTGTTTGGAAAACCAAAGAATATTTTTTTGGCATGGTAAAGTATTAGTAGTTGACAGCAGATATCCTGTATTCTTCTATTTTTTTTTTTATTAATGCCATTTTCACAAAACTGACCTGGACATCTGTTTTCATTTTTAATGATGCTTTTAAATTCCTTGATGTTCGAGTGCCAATTCTAAAACTTGATTGGATTTCAGGGCAAGACAACTGCCTTAGAATCAAAGAAACTAGGAGAATTGAGAAGAAAAGAATCCTGCCTCTGAGCTATACCAATAAAAGCACTGTTCAAGGTAGAGGCCAAAGGTTAGTTGGGTAGAATAGACAGCCAGTGGTGTATGCCCAGCAACCTAAGTACTACACAGGTATACAAAACCTGCGTACACACCGGTGTCCAGCCTGGGCCCTCTTCATAGAGGAATTAATAGGAACTAACTGACACTAACTAAGGCCACCGAGAACACAACTGCCCCATTAATTCGGCCACATAAGAATACAGAACACAGTCTTTGATTTTGTGTGGAACTCGGAAGCAGAGCAGACATTGAAAGTGGGCTTGCAGGTAAATACTCTAGACTGAATTTCACGTCACAAACTCAAAAATACCAAAACCTGGATGTGGAAATCATTTGTGAACTATTTCCAGGCTTCATAAAGACTTAAAGAATTAGAAACACAAACATACTCACAAATGTCTATGGTTTTTAAATTTACTTTGCCCTGATCGCCTACACTTTGTGAAATTATTTATCTGTTCCAGACCCAACTTTGTTTCTTATTATAGCCCTATAATTTGGTGAAGAAATAAATGCACGATTTTTTTCCTCTCCATGCAGACTTCACTAAAACTAAGTTAAAATGGAGTCAAAAGAGGAGGCACAATATATGAATTTCCTTCTAAGCTTATCAATAAGTATCCTTAAGTAGATCAGATACTTTTATTTCTAGAACCCAAGTTTCCCAGTTTGCCTTCAAAATTAGTACATGTAAATCTTTTCTTATATGAAAATCCTACCCAGTGGACATGTTTTACTTCCAAAGGATATTTGGAAATGATTTACCTGCCCATACACCAACAGCAAGTGGGAGATGGTCTTTGTCTCTAAAGTGGGAGATGGTCTCTGTTTCTAAAGACCAGGCATTTACAGAGAACACCATGCTCCTGGAACCCAAGGATTCAAAAAAATAAAAGAACATTCTGTTATGCTTCCTCTCTTCTTTCTTCCACAACAGTGAATTCATACTCTTGGCTCCAAATCTGTTAGGAAGTTACCCAGTGTCACAATTCTTTACCCAAAAAAGAAACAGAATGAAAATATGGAATAAAAACCAATTTTTGAAAAATTCTGGTTGACAAAAATTGGCACAAGTGCAATAGATATATTAGTAAATTCTAAGATAGAAGATCTTATTACAGTATTGTTTCCTAGAGGCGATTGATACAGTCTGGGTCACAACAACTTTTGTGGTTACGTGTGTTAACATGGACACTTTGAGCTGCAGAGTATCACTAGCAAGTTGGTATGTCTACTGTGAAGCCAAAACTATTCTGTGATAACTTCTATTAAAACCTTGACAATCAGTGTGTTTATTCTATTAGAAATCTGGAAAGTTACTCCAAGAATTGGACCAGGTTCTCAGCACAGTTTAACTTGTCAAAAAAAGAACACACACACACACACACACAAAGAGAAAAAAGTGGAGTAAAGGGAAAATTCACAGTCAACTCTTTTGGACTAAAGGTAACAAATCAACTAGCCATAAAATAAACTTTTAGGGTAGAAAAAGCCTACTCAAATTACATCTTTTGAAATTAAATTATTATGAAATTAAATCTAGACAAGTGTGGAGACCCTAGAGCAAAAAGATCAAAGATGTGCACACAGTGTGTGGTGGTGGGTGTTAAGATCTGCAAGTGAATGCTATAAACAGAGTAAAACAATGGCTGTAGAAACCCTTGTGTTTGACAGATTGACACCTACAGAAAGAGGAACCATATGGTTGGTTTCATCCTAACACAGTCTTTGAAAAGGACCCTTTATCTCTTCTACCTAAAAATAGCTTAGTAGTGATATACAGACATTTAGCAGAGGAACCACTTAGTTACCCCTAAAACACTCCAGAAGCCCCTGAGTCAGCTGGAAGGAAATTTAGAACTCTACTGACCAGTTCAAAACCACTGTGGTAGTAAATTCAAATCCTTCAAAAGTCAACAGATATTAATATAACTTGTGGGTGAGGGGCAGAACCTCAAAAAATGTCTCAAATACACATGTCTGATCTTAATGTCGGCCAGCCTCGGGGCTCCATCCTTCTCTTATTCTGTGTTCCTCCTACTCCCTGAATGAGCTTTACAAACCATCTCTAAACTGAGGACTCTAACTTGACATCCAGTAGCTGGGATCAAACACTAATTTAGAGTCAGCCTTGACCCCTCAATATGGCGGGAAGGTCTGTTGGCTCTAGCTTCCAAACGTGTGTAGAAACGACTTCTCCTCACCACCTCTAGCCCTCATTCCCTGCTGCAGGCTCCTCCTCACCTGCCTAGATAGCTGTCACAACCTCCTAACTGGTCCCTTCACCCCTTCATAATATTCTCAAAACAGCGGCCAGAGTGGTCCTCACATGGGGTGATACTGTTCCACTCGACTCCAGATCATCTGGTGATTCTCCCCTTCCCTGGAGAAAAAGCTAAAGTTCTTTCAACGGCCTGAGAGGCAGTGGTGCGCACTGTGACGTGCTGCCCAGATCCCCTCCAGACAAACTGAGTACCTGGATGCTGCAAGATGGCCCTCCGCTGAAGAGTCACCTCCTGCAAGGTCACAGAGCCTTCCGGGGGCAGCCCATATCCAGGGACGAGTGACACGGGTCGTCAAGGCCCAGAGGGCTTACCCCGACACAGGACCACCCAGAAAGGCCAATCTCGGTCCAGGGCCCTGTGTGGTTGGGCCTGCCCTGCAGCTTGACCTCTGTCTCTCTCCCCCTCCCTCACACAGGTCTCGATCCTAGAGGCACGCCATGATAAATGCCTGGCAAACCGAACTCCACCTTAGAGTCTGCTTCTGAAGAAGACAGATTGCCACGAAGATCGGACATGACCTGGCCCCCTTTGACCTCCCTAACCAGTGTCCCCTGCTCACCCTGCTCCAAAGCACACTGGCCTTTGCTGTTTCTGCCAGATGACTGGCATGCCCTGGGGCACAGCTGTCCCTTTTGCTTGGAACACACTTCCCTAGATATACGCACTGCTTCTTCCCCCATCTCCTTCCTGCTTTGCTTAAATGTCACCTCCCAAATGCACCTGCCCTGACCACCCAGTTAAGGCCAGAAACAAAAGGGAAAAATATAAGGAAGGGCAATTCTCACTTCTCCTAATGTATTTGCTTGCCTTTCTGGGTACCGATCCCATTTCGAAGAGATGACTTCACTCTTTTACAAAAGAGCTTGAGAATTGCTGCTTTAAAAGCATATAGGCAGTGCAGTGGTAAGAACATATGCCCAAAGCTCAGACAAGCCCTCTGCTCCATGTGCCTGGGGCAAGTGACCACCCTCTCAGCCCCAGCAAGGCTGGTTGTGAAGTAGGGATAATGACATTCCCTCGACTTCTTAGAAAGGTCGAAAGGATCACATGACTTCATGTAGTAATGGGCTGTGAAAACGGGAAGAGACCATGTAAACTGGGAGACAGCCCTATGGGCCACACAACCAAAAACCCACTGGGAGTACATATGCATCCTCCTTATACATCAGGACCCTAGGAAGTCATTTTGTCAGTTGTGCTGGACCCTGCATGGCTGAGAACTTCCAGCAAAGCATAGGGCTGGGCCTAGGAAAATAAGCACCACCCCAGGGGCACTGTGACAGCCTAAGGACTATTGCAAGAGTAGCCACCCACCAACGGAGTCTGAACCACTGGGACACAATCATCATTTTTTACCCTCCCTGCACTGACTTTAATTACTTCAGTCTTTGTTATAATCTCTAAGGTCCATGTGAAAAAAAATCACATATGATTTCAAATATCTAGGTCTATATATGTGCATCACAAAAGCTTGGAACTTTAAAACCAGTCATATGTCTGGTTATTTGAGATTAGAGGCCTAAATCTTTTCATGTGTATTTTCAACCCAGAGTTTTTATATTTATCTCTGTTTCTGTGATTCAACATAACTGTACTTGGCTTAAAAATAAAACAATAACTCCTCCAAAATCTCAGCTGTGTTTATGTTTGCTTCCATTCATTTCTCGTTTACTAGAATGAAATGTCCTTGCCCATAACCTCAAATCCACAAGCATGATTGATTTCAGAGGTTGCACTCGAGGCCCACCCCACAAAGCAGAGACAACAGACCACCTATAAACTGGCACTAATGAAAACCACAAAATATAATCTCACATTTACCATCACATTATGCATCTGCCTTTTCAGATTTACCTGCAGATCCCATTATAAGCTATTTCTTTATTCCTAAAGAGAGAATCAGAGCTTAGGTTTAAAACAAGAATGTTCATTTTAGAGATATTATTAAAAATTATCCTATAGTTATACATTAAAAATAATAGTACCATTTATTAAAATGATAATAATAATAAATGGTGCTATAGAGGGATAAGGAAAGCAGACCTTGTCCTAACCAATGACCACACAGTATGACAGACCCAGGTGCTGTATCTGGGAAACTCCCTGTCTGGGGTAAGGCAAGTTCATTGGGGGGGGTGTCCCCCTTGGAAAAGTCATGCTACATCAGATCATTCAGGATCTTCTTTAAAGGAACACTCTACTAGAAACCACCTTTGCTTTTGAAGCCCTCCTTTGAGGGTATCACGCACTCCTCTGACTTTTCTTCACAGCTTTATACAACTTAATATTCAGGCTAGGGAAATTGTAAATCTCCTCCAGGTCAAACAACTCCTTAAATCTATCTATAAATTTATTTTCTTTCTCCAACCTGAATTTCATGACCCAGAGGATGATGGTAGTTTCTTTGCACAGATGGTCAAAGGTAATGAGGAGTTCTTCCAGGAAAGGGTGGGCGTAGACAACGTCAGCTGCCAGGATGTAGTCAAAATTGTTGGAAGACCTGGGGAAGTTCTCATCTAAAGCTATGCCCCAGGAGAGCTCTTTAACCTGAGGCAAATGCTTGCATTTCATTTTGGTGTTTCGGGAAATATTATATTGCAGGTTTCCAAGTAATTCAGGTAAGTCTGTGGCAGTCACGTGTGCACCTATGTATGAAACAAAGAACAGTAGGAAAAGTAACCCTCAAGGGATAAGGTAAAGCAATCAGGTTTCAAGCCAACGTGCCTTTGCAATTCTGCACAATCACTAACCCTAGGGAAAGACTGGTCGCTACACACAGAAGGGAAATCCCTTCAAAACAGATGCTAAGGCAGCTTTACACCTCCCCTTAAAAAAAATTTTTAGATTCCCACTGCACTTTTTAACTCCCTTGCATTTTTCTGTTCTCCTGGGTTTTTTGTTTGTTTTACCATTGTTGCTGTGGCTATTTGCTATTTATCTACTACATGCTAGGAGAAAAATAAGCTAGAGAAAGAGAAAAATCAAAATATTTGGAATCTTCAATGGGACAATCAGAAGTCACTGTTGAAAGGCACATCTGTTCTTTGCTAAAAGAATTCTGAGCCCAAGTCATGTGAGGCCAAATGAGTGTATTACAACATCGGGCATCCTGTTGTTGAACAAGAGGAGCTCAGGTGTGCAAAGAGGGCTTTTCAATAGAATTACATTGGAAGCATCATGACGTCCATGTTTATGCCCAAGTTTTCAGCTTGACCCCCTTACAAGTATGAATCTTCCCAACAGAAAATGTTTAAAACCTAGCCACAACACGTGCATAGAGTTCCTACAGCCAAAGACCATAGATGCAGGACAGAATACTCAGATGAAGAAGATATGAACAATCTCCAAATTAAAAGTGAAGAGTAGAAGGAAGAAATTGGAAGAGGCAAAATTATAGAAACCGAAAATCAATAAAATTTGGCCCTTAAACTATGAGCTGTGGCAGAGCCTGAAAATAATGTGTAAGTAAATCTAGAATTGGCCAATTCCACACATCGGACAAGAATAGACTGGGGTAAGAAATAAGAAAGCAGAACTGGGAGAGAAGTCTAGTGCAGCCCAGACCAGTTAAGAACCCATTCCTTAGTCACAATGACAAGTTTCTCTGGCCATTGTGATTATATTTTGTGGGAAATATTAAAGTGGGAGGACAATATGCGTATCATTGGCAGAATCACAGAAATATGTTGTCATATTCTAGTGTGGGTGGGTCTGTCATTTTCAACAAATCCTTTTAAAATCCCAAGAAAAGGGAGATTCCCCCATCTACAGTGAATATAAACCATCTGACTATTAAGATTTTTGTGTCTAGAGAGGTAAACACTAACTAAACAAAGCCTCTATCTTTTATTATTTGTGTCAAGTTATACAAGCAGCCTAAAAGGATCAATTCTTTTTAGTGAAACAAATAACTTCCCAAAGCACAAATGTGCTCCTGATCAGGAAGCCTTCAGGTATAAATCCAGTGGTACCACTGACTACCCATATTAAATGGAATGGTGACTTTAGAAAGCAATATCAGGAAGGAGCAATGTTTTTAAAAAAATATTTGGGGAGGACTTCATTTCCCCAGTGTTTAGGAAGTTGTAAATTGCTAAATCTTGAATTCCTCTCAAGATTTTAGAGTGGCAGGTGTGCACTTCTAAAGATCAAGGAAATCAGGAGAGATTTGGGTAGCGCACATCAGAGAAGGCAGCTAAATTAAGGCAATGAAACAGGTAACAACAGAGAGAGACTGAAGTGAAGCAGGCTCAGGCATTCATAGAGGCTGTCACACATGTCATGAGAAAAGGAAATGCTGGTGAGAAAAGAAGGGGGTCCCCAAAGAAGAATGAAGATGAGCTGAGAAAAGAAATTCAAGGGGAGCCTTGGTGGCTCTATCAGTTAAATGTCTGCCTTCCGCTCAGGTCATGATCCCAGGGTCCTGGGATCGAGCCCCGTGTCAGGCTCCCTGCTCAGTGGGGAGTCTGCTTCTCCCTCTCCCTCTGCCTCCCACTCCCCCTGCTTGTGCTCTCTCTCTCTCTCTGTCAAATAAATAAAATATTTTTAAAAAATAAAATAAAATAAATTTTAAAAAAAGGAAAAACATTTTCCAGGGAAAATGTGTAAAATTAGAAGCAGACGTGATTGATACTACTCCTTTCTAACAGGTGCTTTTTCATGAAAGCGTAGGACTTCAAAATCTACAAGGAATGTACAGCTATCTGGGAATGTTGAAATATGGCTAACATCTAAATAAAGACCACCAGAGTCAGCAGCAGAAGGTTCTGCCTGGGCCTTGTGTCCCACAAGCCTCCTCCAGCAGCCAGGCGCCTCCTCCAGCAGCCAGGAGGCCTGAGCGCACCGCCCAATTAGAATACACTTGTGACGTGGGTGCTCCATGAGCAGAACTAATACAGCTTCACAGACAATTCTCAAACAAACCAGTAAGGTGACTTTAAAATTGGTAGTGTTTCTTGATGAAGCCCATTCAAGCAATTAAGGAGTTAAAAGTAGGCCTAGGTCAGAGTAAACTGGGTAGTAAAAGCAGCTAATGACATCCGATCATTAAACCCTCTGACCCCGTTCAATCAAAATTACCTACTTACCAAGTAAACTTGCCACGATGGAGACTAGCCCTGTTCCAGCTCCGATTTCAATCACATTTTTGTCAACCATATTATAGTGCTTCACATTTGTTTCCAGAAAATAGCATAGAACAAGGGCCTATGATAGTTTTTAAAAAAGAAAAAAGTAGTGCTTGGCAAGTAATAACAGAAAGTAAAATAAAAGTCTATTATATAAATATACTATATACACTAATGCTATGACGCATGGACACATGTGAATGTATGTGTGAATATATACACTTCACTACAGGAAATTATCAACAGAAGTATATCCTCCAATAGGTTCAACATTTAGACTAGAAAAAGTCCTTGGGGGTTGTTGGGGAGATAAGAGAAATGAAACTATGGAACTCAGTTGCTTAGACATGATTATCTTTAAAGAAAGCAATTTCTAATAATAATAATAATAGTCACTTAAAAGAAGTATGTGGGATTGGGGCAGACAGTGGAGGGAAGGGGGGTCTGGACCCTTCATGAACAACTGCTAAAGGGTTGGTGACCTTGTAAAACATTCTGCATGTTGAGACTGATAGATTTTATTATGATTATTTAACTCAAATGGAGCCAATTGAACGGGAAATAAAAATGTTTGCTATTCTAAACTCCCATAGTCACAAAACACTGAAGGTTTAAACAGCATTCTCTATTAATCCTACAAGCCAAAAATAGAATTAATTGGTGGAAGCATTTTCCCAATTTTGTGATTTCTAAGTTTTAGCATTGTTTGAGGTCACAAATAGAACTATGGAAACTATTATTTCCTTCCAAATAGTACACAATAAGGAGCAAAACTGTTTGGAAAACCAGTGAAATGTAACAAGTTTTGTTTGAAATTATACCGATGGCCAAACAACAGCACCATAACAATCCATGGCTTCAGTAATCCGAATCTCATGACCGACAAAATGAAATCCCTCCCAGGAGGTGGTTGTTATTAGACTTGGAACAAAACATCTTGCCATGATCTCTGCAACCACCTTCTTGTCATCATCTCTCTTCTCTGAAAGGAAAACAAAAAAGTCAATAGTTGTGGTTGTGTTGGTAAGAACCGGGAAAAAGAACCTGATGGAAATGTAGCATGTCTACTTATTCTAAGTTACTTTTGAATATTCATTGACTTTAAGTGCAGTGTAAGAGTAAGGTAAACTATTTTAAAATAACTCATACTATAAGCTAACATTTCATACATCCACAGCCACGTGAACCAAATAATAATTCATTTCTGCAAAGCCATGTGAAACAAATAATAATTGATATACTTTTTAAAAAGCAATATATTTCAAGGGCTACCAATCTATTCATCTAGAACAAGAGAGAAAGATTGGTGATGGAACATAGGATCTTGACTATTCACATTGACTACATAGTGTAATTCCAGCTGTCAATAATGTATAGTAGTATATCCTTTATGACCTGCCTTTACCTAGGCAAAAGATATTTAACATCATCCAAAAATATACCTTTGTATTATTTTATTATTACTTATTTTTATAGCATTACTTTGGGCAACTCATGGCACCTTAACATCCACAACATTGGATAAAGTTCATAAGCAACAATATCAATTACTGAGCACATAGTTAACAAGCCAGACCATGTTAAATATATCATATCTGATATTTCATGTAATTTCATTTTATTTCATGTAACTTTTACAATAATTTTGTGAGATAGGCATTATTATTCGCACTTTTACAGGTAACAAAACTAAGATTCAGAGAGCCTTATTAACTTGACCAAGTTCATGCAACTTGTAAATGAAGGAGCCAAAATGTGAGGTTTTTTTTTTTATTGTTCCAAAGCCCCCTCTCTACTCCTAAAAAGCTAGAATGTAATTTAAAAAAACTAGTTGTCTCTAAGAATTTACAAACTAGTTATGGAGCAAGACACACATCTTTCTCCCTGTCTCTGTTTCCTTCTTTGTAAAACGTGAAAGATAGAAGAACCTCCACCAAACAGTGCTGGGCGATTTAAACAAGATGCTGTATGTAAAGTGCTTAGCACCTTGGCTATTACATGGAACTCAGTAAGTCATTATCATTATTATAACTTATTATATCTTGATCATGAAACTAAATAATATTAACATGATCACCATATAAACAAAAATATTGGATTGTGAGGTATCAGAATTGAATTAATTGAAAATTCTATACTTACTCATAGAAGCAGAGAGTAGAATGGTGGTTGCCAGGGGCAGCGGTGGGGGAAATGGGGAGATATTGGTCAAAGGGTGCAAAGTTTCATTTACGCAAGATTAATAAATTCTGGAGATCCAATGCATAGCATGGTGACTATAGTTAATAATAATGTATCCTTGAAATTGGCTAAGAGAGTAGCTCTTAAGTGTTCTCATCACAAAAACAAGAAAACAGTAACTATGTGAAGTGATGGATATGTCAATTAGCTTGATTGCCGCGTTCATTTCTATATATCTATACATCTATACATCTATATATATATATCAAAACATAATTCACACACCTTAAATATCTACAATTCTTACTAGTCGATTATACCTCTAGAATAAAAGAAAATTCTAGAGTTAAATAAGTAAGGGGGAATGCACTGTGGTGAAGGTCACTAATGAATGGCTTCAGGAAGGAAATATGTCTTAAGTTTAACCTCTGATCTATGATTTGCTTTAATATTGAAGCTTTGTATTTCTTATACCAATTCTTAAAACCCATTGACTTTTCAAGTCTCGTTTCTGTTCTCTGAGTCTGGCTAGAATCCTGCTAGCTACTTCCCCGACCCAGCACTAAATCCAGGCCTAGTTCTCTTCAGCATAGTTCTTTTTTTTTTTTCTTTTAAAAAATATTTATTTAAGGAGCAAGTTATAGCCAGTTTTTCCTTCCAAACACCTAGGCAATTGCCCCAACTTTGTTGAATACCCCATCTTTTCTCCCTGATTTGACATGCTATCTTTACAAGAAGCTAAATTTCTGTACACAGTTGGGAAAATTTATGGACTATTCATGCCCAGATTCCTGTCTATTTCTGTGCCAATACCATTTTTTATTTACAGTAACTTTATTAAAATATTTTAATACCTTTGGGACACTTGCCCCCCTCATTACTATTATTTTTCAGAATATCTCTGACCATGCTCTTATTTTTTCTTCTTTTTATATTAATTTTAGTAATATTTGACCCAAATCACCATAAATCATGTTGGTGTTTTCATTATAATTGTAGTGATTGATAGATTTAGAGAAAACTGACATCTTTATAATGTTGTATCTTTCCATCCTAAAATAATGTGTATCTTCCTCGCCTAAAACAAATTTTCTCTCCCTCAAGTTCCTAAGTAGAATTTGAGAAACTCGTGATTTTGTAAATTTACTTTTTTACTTAGTTCTTTTTATTATTTTATTGTTTTATCCGTTCTCTTGGCTTTTCTAATTTTTCTGAGTCTCTACCTTAGACATGTAGTTTATAGATAGTATAGAGTATGGTTTCATTTTTGGACTCAATCTGAGTTTTTCATTTTCTAAGGATTTTATCCCACTTTCATGTAGTGCTATCACAGAGGTTTGTTCTGCTTCTGCATTCTTATTTCAAAAAGTCTTCGTCTATTTGGACTGCTGTAACACAAATACCATAGGCTGGGTGGCTTAAACAACATTTATTTCTTCAGCATAGTTCTTAATTGCTTAAAAGAGGAAGTAGGGAAAGGGAGGGGCAGGGAAAGGAGGAACGGAGGGGAGGGGAGGGAGGAGGGGGTACATACAGATGGATATACATACGATGGTGGAGTCTTGCCTGATGGGAGTGCATCATGACCTGATGGGGATGATTAACTCACACCTCAGTCCTGAGATCCAAAAATAAGCAAGTAAATAAACAAATAACAAACACAAGTATTTCCAAGAAATTTGGGAGCAATACAAAAATTTCTCATTCTGGTCCTCGTAGAAGACAATCTCCTCCTAGAAAACTTATTTCCCAAATCTCAAAAATTAAAAACTTTCACAATTTCCAACACTGCAATTATTCAAAGTTTTAAAACAGATGCATCACTCAAAAATAAAATGTCATAGAATCCTAGAATGTCAGGGCACCTGGGTGGCTCAGTCACTAGGCGTCTGTCTTCAGCTCAGGTCATGATCCCAGGGTCCTGGGATCGAGCCCAACATCGGGCTCCCTGCTCAGCGGGAAGCCTGCTTCTCCTCTCCCGCTCCCCCTGCTTGTGTTCTCTCTGTCAAATAAATACATAAAATCTTAAAAAAAAAAAAAAGAATCCTAGAATGTCAAGATGGAAAACACTTCAGATACCTTCTAGTCTACCCTTGCACCTCGTGCTCATGTTGGGTGTAAACTACATATCAGCTTTTCAGCCTCTTTGAATATTCTCAATAAGGGTAAATATGTTACTTCACAAGATACATTTAGAAATATGATTATTGAAAATTCTTCTCAATATTAAGCCAAAATCTGACACCATAGATTTTTTGTCTATTACTCCTAAAAGTAAGCTCCAAGATGAGCAAACTTTTATTTTTAAAACATGTTCCAAAATTTTAGGACAGAGGAAAACATGCCAAAAAAAATTATATATATATATATATCTCTAGTGCCAGTCTTAAAAATTCTGGACTCAGGAGTATGTGAAAGCCTCAAGAGACTTTTAAACTTTTCCACTGCACTGAGGCAAGAATAAGTAGAAGTGACAGTGTTGAGTCCCTAAGTCCTAAGAGATGTTATTTCCAACTCTGTCCTATGAGATCCGATAACATCATTCCCCAGTATTTGGGGAGCAGAATGGCTAGATGGAGGTAGATCAAGTTTGACATTGTTGAAAACTTCCGTCAGAGGCCACAATTCCGGGGGTACTTCCTGTCAACATGATTTCCTGTCCTATATTCTGTGATCCCTCAGTAGAGTCCTTCTAAGGATCCACACGGAACCAGGTACTCCTCAAAAAAACTCTAACTTAACTTCATGCCATAGGAAGGGCCCAGTCTACACCCGCTCCACCACCCTCACAAACATTGACCCTTGGCAGAGATACAGGAAAACAAAGAGATGAAAAACTGATATTCTTCAGCAAGAGCCACCTCTTCAAATTCACTTCACTGTACTTCTTCAACTATGGCGTGCGTTCACATGCAAGAGCTCTAAGAACCAAAAACATAGGGGCGCCTGAGTGGCTCAGTCAGTTAAGCATCTGCCTTCGGCTCAGGTCATGATCCCAGGGTCCTGGGATCCAGCCCCACATCAGGCTCCCTGCTCCACAGGAAGCCTGCTTCTCCCTCTCCCACTCCCCCTGATTGTGTTCTCTCTCTGTCAAATAAATAAATAAAATCTTTAAAATATATATATATATATAGGTAATATGTTTTACTGGAACTTGAACTTTCCTTTCATTATATTCACAGGCCTTGCTGAGATGGGTGGGGGTGGGGGCAGCATTTGCTGCAGAATTTCCTTAGGGAAAAGCAGGAAACAGTAATTGCTTCCTTGACCTTTCACTATATGTGCCCTCTTGGGCCTCCTTGCATACTCTTTGTAAGTGGAGCACTTTTTGACAAGTCACCCAAGGTATCAGGGATTAATAGATGTTAGAGTACACTAAATCCCAGGAGCATCTCCTAAAGTTCCAATCTTTGATATAAAAACTTTGACAGTGAATATTTACTGCTACAATCTGACGTCTTTGACTTTGCAGTTTCTTTTAAAGGTTAGTGGAACAGATTAGTGCTATGGTCCTAAGAACAGTATAATAACAAATGATTCCTGGTTTTTTACTCTTTCTAAATAAACAAAACCAGCCATTTTTTTTAAATTGGCCACATCTTTACCTTTATAAGGAAGTGAGATTTAAAAACATATATGTGAATATATTATTACAATCAAAAATTACTTATACCTCCCAAAGTAAAAGATCTTCAAAGAGATTTAATGAAACAACAATAGCCACTATTAATTGCATATACACTTAAAAGAGCAGTTCTATCCATCTATATGTGGTCATTCAAAATTAATTACACACCCAGGATGACTATGTATCATACAGAAAATATTGTCAGGTTGAATAAAAATTAACTGATAATGTTTTATATTAATACTCTCTTTTGCATTTAAATACTATATAAACACTACAGGCATTCCATAAGAAGTCAGTCTCATAAAATGTTAGTATAATTTATAACAGGAAACCAAAATGTACCAAACTTGGCTGCTTAAAATAATTTGTCTAGATGTAATATGTAGGATTTTAAAAGCAAATATACACGTGCGGTTATTTCTATCTTAAAATTTTGACTGCTGTTTTTCAGCATTAACTTTGATTTAAAGATTTTGAGGTAACAATTTTAACAGTAGTTATTTAACAGTTTTAACAGCAGTCATTTATTTAAACCAAAAGACATGTTTAATATTAAGTTTTAGCAATATCACCACCTTGATGACAAGAGCCTCTAAACTGAAATCTAGTGGAAAGAGCTGCACTATATATCCTTATGTGAGCCTTGTAATAAAAAGGAGAAATCTATCCCCCAAATAATATTCAAAGAATATGTTCCTTAAAATACATGCTTAGTTATTTATTGAATATGGGATTGAATCTTGAGAAGATTAATGAATGAGTAGAGTAGATATTCTTTGACCTTTAGTTAAGATCTGAAGAGTAATTTCCTCCAAAAATTAATAACATTATCATACAATAGAATTCTAATTTACATTTCTGAAGAATATTGTTTCCACACATATTCTCTCCTTGTTACCTAGCACTTAGGCCCTGAGACAAGTAACTAAAACTGAGTAATGTTACACAAAATGTTGAATCTTGACTTTCCTATATGAAAAGCAGAAAGCTGTGTCTTTTGATAAAAGCTATCTACTACAATCTTAAGAGTATTATTTTATTAATGAGTTTAATATTAAAATATAAATATCAAAACAAACTGTAAATAAAACATAATCAAGACAATATTACAATTATGTTGCTATTTTGGGCTTATCTTATTTTAATGCTCTTTGATACAAAAAAGACTTAACACCATTTTCCTGCTATTAAATCTTTGCTGATAGTGAATAAAATCTACCAGGTGCTCTTGTTCTCCTGAGAATTAACAATTTCAAGTATGAAGTGAAAATTAGCAGGATTCTGCTACATTATGATGATGCTTTTCTTAGGAGGAAAATCTAACAGTGAATTCACTTCAGAGGCTAGATTACAGCTAGCCTTCAAAAACAGAAGCACCATCTATATTTTTCTCTTTTATAATTTTAAGGTCAATAACAACAATAATAAATGGAAGGGTTATATCACAGAAATACACCAAAAAAATGTCTTTAATAGCTATGGCAGGTGAATTTAAGCTTCCATTTGAGGGCTGTCATGAAAACCTGTCAGCAAAATTTAAAGTAAAATCCCCTCTACTACATGAAAGGGTCTTGTCATTCAACAGAATCTTCTATTCAAAGATGAATGTCATGTGCCTCTTAGAAATAGCCAGAGATTTAAAAAAAAAAAAATGTTAAAGATATTTTCCAATTAGTAAATGGTCACAGGCTAACCTGAAAGATAGAATTCTGAATGCCTCAGCAATGTCAAGGTCTTGGGCCTGATGTTAAAATTAATTCTTGAAAAGAGTTCACAAATATTTTTTGTCTGGAGGTCTGCTTAGTTTCAAGAATATACTGAGGCTGTCTCTTTAATCAAGTGGATCAAATGATGCTACATTTACAGAAGAAAGACAGTTCATCTTTTACTGGGCCGCTCAGGATGCAAGTGGGAAAGAAAAACAAAACAAAACAAAATTAGTTGTACTCGATGTCTGCTGCTGGGATTGTTGTGGGGACAGACACCTAAGCAATTGTGAATGAAGTACGATAAGCACAATAAAAGAAGTATTTCTAAAGTGCTTTTGGGAAGCACCACTGGTTGGTGAATCGGGAGAAGCATTCTCAAAGAGGAGACATTTGAGCATGTGGAAGGAAGAGGAAGGCAGCCAGGCTGAGAAGGGAGATGAACCGCCTGCCACTGCATGGAGACAGGCCAGGGGAGTGGTCAAAAGACCCATGGAGCTGGTGTCCAAGGTACCAAAAAGACTCTTGGCCAGTTTTCCAGTTTGGGAAACTCTGAGAACTAAAATGTAGGATGAGTGGGGGTTGTAGCATGAGATAAAATACTTAGGTCATGCTAAGAAGTCTTGACTTTGTCCTATTGGAAATAATGAGACATGGAAGAATTTTAGGCAGAAGGTGAATGTGACAGGATTTGAATTTTGAAGAGATCATGCAGCTATAGAGAAAACTAAAGAGGAAGATGTAGAGAGGAGAAAGAAAGGGCGCTGGCCCAGAGTGGGGGTAGAAGGTACTTACAACAGTCACAAGAAGAGATAATAAAGACCTGAATCAAGACAACTGGTGGTGTCAGAGGGTATGAGGAGTCAGGAAATATAAGTTGGTAAAATTGGTGGGATGGAATGATGAACGGTAGGAGGAGGAGGGACCAGGATGATTCTAGATTTCTGGGCAGCCAGGGAAATAAAGTTGCCATAAACTGAGATAGAAAATATAAGTTGGGCAGGGGTGTAAATCTGCAAATTATTTTCTGAAAGTGAATTACTCTGTGGTATGACACGCTGGCCACAGAGGTATGCTGTTCAGGTTAAGGGAGGGTGCCTCTGGGAGCACAGCTGCCCAGTGGCTCCAGCTGGGTCCCTTTGGCTCCTCAGAGGCTATGCCTCCCCCAGGACTGCCCGCTAACGCCACTTCCCTCCCATTCCACAGACAACATGCATCTAGTGGGAGACTTGCTCCCTCTCTTCTCGCATGTGTCAGACCTGCATTGTGATCTGATGGCTCTCCCCACCCACTTCTGTCCCCTCTTTCTTTACCATCCACAAACATTTCCCCCAGTAAATCTCCTGCACATTTAATCCCATTTTGGCATCTGTTTCTGGAGGGCTCTGAACGGACACAAGGTAGTACAGAGGACATCAAGTAAGCAGTTAAAGGGGCAGATTTGGGAGTCATGCACAGAAATCACTGAGCCTTGGGTTAGGACAAACCTGCTCCAAGGCCGCAGAGCCTGAGGAGCTATGTTATAACACACTGCTGTGTGGGCTAACAGCTGGAGGGTAGCTGTTGGCAAGAGGTAGGCAACACAAGATATTTGGAATAGTTAACGTGGATAAGGTTTTAGACAGCTTAGACTCTTAATGTAGCATTAGAAACCATAGACAGAGGACTATTTGGTATGTGCCATAGTCCTAACTGTAATCTGTGTATAACTTAGTGACATCCTATAATTCTTGGACCTTCAGGCCAGCGCTGAAATAGAAGAACTGGGCTATAGGTTTGCTCCATCTTTTTCAAGCACAAGATACTAAGTATAAGAGTTAGGACAGGTAAAGTCAATATCCTTCAGCACTAAAGAACTGAGTGTTCCTCTGGTTAGTGGAAGTCTTTCCAACAAAAAGCCATCTGACTCTGCCCCAACAGCACACACTTAATCTGCCTGTGAACATATTTTTAAAGCTGTAGGCTATCTGAATGATTATGGGTGTGTTTTCTCGTGTTATAAAATATTTTAATACTAGTTCTGTCTCAACCTTACCTTGAACTTCTCCCATTTCCTTTGTAATTTGACAAATTATCATATGCACAGTTGAAACCAAGCATTGTTACTAATGATAATAATGATGAAATTTTATTCAGAAACTGCAGAGAAATTGCATCTTCATTCAAATCATCTAAATGGTTGGATTCTCTAAGTGATTATGACTTCAAATGTTTAGGTTTGCAAAAATCACTACAGTAAAACCATTGTGTTGAAGCTATGTAGGCTGCCAACACCGGGCATACGCCCAGCTCTCTCGGCCTAAAGATATGCTCACCTAGGTAGAGGCCACCTGGTATGCCTAAAAAGGGGAGAGGGGAAGGACTACAATTCTTAGAAAACATCCATGTGTAGATAAAGAAGAGAGAAGAAGAAAGAAGCCAAGATAATTAAATTTGTATGACAAATGTTCTACAAAAACAGTACTAGCTCTTCAGGTCTACATCAAGAGTGACTGTCTGCACTTTTTATTTCAAGTCAATGGGGATAGCTACATTACATAATCCATGCAAAGTCACTCTTGATATTTAAAATGATGTAAAAATGGGAGGTCAGTTTCAAATAACTACAGTTATAGCAGAATTCAAACTTAAAGTCTCCTTATACTGAAAGGTCAAATCAGATTATATATTTGTCTCTATTAATACATCAGAGGAACCATAAACACAGGCTAAAAATGTTTTTATAGTCTAAAATCATCTTTCATGCAGGCATTTATAAAAACTTTTAGCCTTACACAAAACTAGTTTTCTCTCTCTTCCTATCTAAAAAGAAATATGTTAGAAATCACAATCATGTATGTAGTGTATAGCACTTGGGGAAAAAATTTATTCTTCTTTTTCATATCAAAAAAAAATTCTAACTACTTAGCAAGTCTGTATATTTAATTTGTCAAAATTATCCCTAACATATCATCAGGACCATAGGTATCAGAGTAGACATTACGCATTATTATAGATATTTTCAGGTTAGCAAACAGAAGCCAAGGTGCAATATGCAATTGATAAGTCTTCACTCTCTTTAAGACGTTAGGGAACACTGAGAAGTTAAGCACTTATATTCTATTAGTTGTTTGTCTTCTTAGAATTTGTCAAATTATATAAAGAAACATAAAATAATTTACCTTTTTCAACTCCTGGATCCATTAAGCGATGAACTAATGGATGGCTATATATTGATGTTTTCTTGATCATTTCTTGAAAACTAGGCAAATAATACATTACAATATCAACTAGTAATAATTCAAAAGTGTGTGTTAAGTGCTTTTATATACCTAATAAAGCTGAAGTAACATCAAACATACCATAGAAAATTCTATTAAAATTTCATATATTAATCGTGATTTACGATAGACCCCCAAAACACAATCTATGCAGTACAAATCAAAATTTGGACAAAAGCTTCAGAGTCAGAAATTTTAAAAGCTACTGGAAGAAAAAAAGACATTACTTCACCAGAGACTACCTCAGCTATCACCAAGAAAGGCATCATCTTTATATTGACTGGTCGGATAGCAATCTTCACATTTAGAGGTGATTAAAACATTGGGAGAAAATGAATTTCGTTCAGTGTAGTGAAAACCACAACATTAATCTAAAATAGCAATAGAGGCAAAGTTCACTTGTTTCTATCAGTACATCATTAGTAAGAACCCAATATCTAATAGCCCAACCACCAAATGGTCTTTTGAGTAGCTTTCACTTTAAAGAACCCATACCATCTCAGCAAATATATTTAAAATTGAAGAAATTAAAGTATTTTGTGCCTCTCAAATAGAGCATATCATGTGAGTAAGTTTAAACTAGCTGTTACTCCAACTTCGGGAAAAGACGATTTGATGTTTTACATCTCAGTTTTGGTTCATATTATAAATAATCACCATACTCCCGTGAACTTATGTAGCACTCCTTTCTTCCAAGGATCCCAGAACACCTTTCACAGCCACCACATTTTTCTTTGCAGTATGTCTCAATAAGTTAGAAGACAAATCATTTTCCCCTGCAGCTTACAGATGAAGAAAGCGTGAAGTTAAATAACGTCCCTGAGGTCACTGGCTAAACAACAGGAAACATGGTCACGCGTCTTGTTCCCAATTTAGTTCCTCTTCCATTTAAGGAAAAAAAAAAGCAGTCTTCCTTACACGTGTCTGCCTGAAGGTCAACGTTTATTAAATGTTAAGTCCGGACATACCTAAACGGGTTAGCTGAGTTTCTGGAAGTTCAAAAAGTATCATCCACACAGCTTTTGTTTTGCTGGAGAGACCTCTGAGGGTGCTTGAAAGGCTAGCCCCGAAGCAAGCCTGCAGTTTCCTACTGTACACACTGGCAGCAAGTCCTCGCAGGAGGGTTTAGGATCCTGACAGCTGCAGCTTCCAAACCTCAGGGGTACAGCAATGAGGCTGGAATGCACGTAAATAAGGGGGCTGAAGAATAGGAATATTCCATGTGAGTGTCTCACGAACAGAACTAGAGCCAGTGAGTGAACATAAACCACTCCTACAAGCGAGTGAAGACTATTTGAGCAAAGTGACCCCTTTTTTTAACTTCGATGCCAAGAGTTATTTAGGACTCCACAGCTATGACGTCCAGTGAGACGGAGGCTGCATACTTTTTCTGTCACCTGTCTGGGTGTGAACAACATTTTTAGAATCAGAGAGCCGCACCAGAAAGTTAGAGAATGTGTGCAGTAGTGCTCTGGGCACAGGCATCAAATTGTAATTCCTTCCCACTAGGACTGAAGCAGAAGGCTGAGGGTGCCTGTTACCCGTAGTTGCACGTGCACATGCATGGCTGCATCTCAGAGCACGTATAAATCACCCTGGTCACTCAGAATGTCCTTAATAAGAAGTTACTATAGGTAACAAAATCGAGCAATATTGTGAAGTTACATAAACTTAGAGGAGTGTAGGTACAGCTTCTAGGAAATACTTTATACAAAGTTGACTCGAGGTCACGTTAATATATTGGATGGAACTAGCAGTCTGGGAGCCTAATTTTAAATTTGCTTGGGATTTGAGGCATTTACTTAATGTGTTTCTTGGCTTCCTTATCTATAAAACAGGGATATAAAAGGTACTCAATATATACTTGTGAGAGGAATATGGTAGGTAAAAAAAAAAAAAAAAATCTGCAAATTGCAAAATCCTAAACAATGAAAACTATTATTCATAGGCAGTTAATTCTGGGCAGAGGACATCCTCTTTTTTGGCTTTTTTTAAAATAAGAATAATCATTTGGTGAATAAAAATTACCTGTCTTTTTCAAGGAGTTATTTAAAAGATCATGAAACCTCAGTGCCAGATTTCTTAAGAGGCAGAATCCCTAAATTGATCATTTAAACTGACATGACAATGATTATTTCAGTTACACTGAACTGTTTGAAAAGTACATAGAGACCTCTGCCTCCACCTGTAAGTAGCTTATAGCACACCTCTGCTTCCAAGAACTAGGAAAGCAGATTACACACACACACACACACACACACACACACACTAGTGGTCAGGAAAGAACTGCCAAGGTAGCCAAGAATTCCATGTTTGTTTTTTTTTAAAGATTTTTATTTATTTATTTGACAGAGAGGGACAGCAAGAGGAGGAACACGAGCAGGGGGAGTGGGAGAGGGAGAAGCAGGCTTCCCGCGGAGCAGGGAGCCCAATGCAGGGCTCGATCCCAGGACCCTGGGATCATGACCTGAGCTGAAGGCAGACGCTTAACGACTGAGCCACCCAGGCGCCCCAAGAATTCCATGTTTTTGCTGATTATTGATAATAAAGAGGCTGAGAAGCCAAAGGGAAGACAAGGAAGGATGCCAGGAGAGCTTCCAGTGATCGATCACATAGAACTGGGAAGACAAAGAATAGTGTTGGGAGCTGGCAAGGCAGCCAGGAATTGGGAGCCCAAGAGCCCAGGAAGCAAGAGAAATAAACCCCACACTCAGCACTGACCCTTCACTCAAGGCATTTACTCAATAAGATGTTAGGGCAAGAGGCTAATTTTCCAAGCAAAGAGTAGCTGAAAGTAGAGCAAAGCTCACAATAAGAAACACCCCCGGTGTCAGTTGGTACCCCCGAGAAACTACTTTTTTAGTAATGGGGAGAAACTGGAAGATGGAGTCTTACAAAGACCGCAAGGCAGCCTTGAATTCACTAGGTCCTGCTTATAGTCAGGTGATGTTCCCCTCTGCCGCCTGCCAGAGTACCTTCCCGAGTCCTCTGCAGAGGAAGATCCACAACATCTACAATTCCTTATACACAATGTCCGGCATTCACTCCGAGTTTACTAATCATACCAAGAAACAGACAATAGAAACAAGCCCACAGGTAACCCAGATATTGGAATTGTTTAACACAGACTTTAAAGTAACTGTGATGAAGATATTCAAAGAATAGATGACAAGAATTACACCAAAGAACTAGAATCTATAAAAATTAGTCAAGAAAATAGGACTGAAAATACATGAAATAAAGAACTCAACAGATGAGTTTAACAGCAAAGGTAGAGAAAGCTGAAGAAAAGATTAGTAGGCTGAAAGATGATTTTATAGAAAAAGTATATATATGATGGTTGTCATCCTACATCATACCCATGTATACCAACTCACTTTGAATAGTGATAAATTTGCTTTGCTGCTGCTGGTTTTAAACAGGCAACCTATTTTGTAGGTAAAATTGCACCCTGAATTTCAAATTAAATTTGGGGGAAAAAGAAAGATTTGGGTACTTTCCTACTGGTTGGGTGAATTTGGTAAAGTTGGTAAGTATCTCCAAGCTTGTTTCTTCATTTGTAAAAGGATATGCCTTGGTCAGAGGGTTAACAGAAAAAAGGATAAATACCAAAATGTTCTATAAATACATTTACAGCTATAAGCTGTATATCCATTTTTCCTTTTCCTGGGTACATAGTCCAGGTAGAGATTACATTTCTGGGTATTTCTGAAGAATATGCTCAGGTCGATTCAACAGAATAAGATAAGTGATTTTTAACAAAGGACATTGTCCTTCCCAGGGCTTTGGTTCTTTCCTCTTCCAGCAGGTTGAAATGCAGATATAGCAGTGACCATTCAAGCAAGACAGCAGCCTAGGAGATGGCTGAACCTGGGACCCTGAATGACCTCATGGTGGACAGCTGCCTAACCAGCTCAGATTGGCCAGCCTGTTGAGTAGGAGATAAATCATGGTCCAGCTTATGTAGGCCATTGTATATGAAGATCTCTTTGCTATAGCAGCTTAGCCTTCACCCCAACTAGGGTAGTGCAAAACAAATGGAAATTATCTATGAAAGGAAACAAAATTAAATTTTAACAAAAGTAGTACTTACAAACATGTATGCAGAAAACTCCCAATTATAAGTAGCTTTGAGAAATGAGAATAATATGAAAATATGCAGAAAACTCCCAATCATAAGTAGCTTTCAGAAATGAGAATAATGTGAAAAAGTTAATGTCTCCCTACTCCATCCCCCGAAGAAAAGTGTTCTGCTTCAAATACCTCCAGAGAGAAGACGCATTAAAAAAAGATCTGAGTTTATTTACATGGAAGTCATTGTCGACTCTAGAAGAAAGCTGCTAGAGAGGACTGGAAGAATCAGAGGAGATATTTCTAATTAGGAAAGAATAAATAAAAAGGAAAAGCACAGCTGTAGACCAACTATCTGAGAAGAAGGGCTGAAAAGTAAATATAAATTCAAGCCTTAAAAAAAGCGTCCAGTAGTCAGTACAAGGTTGTTGAAAGTTATCTGTATTTAGTATTCACTGGGGTAAAGATTTTCAATTATTTGAAGGCAGAGGGAAGAAAATCAGCAAAGACGGAAATACCAAAGATGTCAGAAAAGATACAGACTTGGGTAGACAGTACCTCTGAAGGCCAAAGAACCCAGGCTCCAGGTAATGGACAATGCTCTCCTCAGACTGTTCACAACTAAGCAATCAGAACTCCGGGAGTTGCTGTTGTGAGAGTGGCGGCCGGAGCAATAATAAACTAACCGAGGCTAGGCCACTCAGAAGGAACGTCTCTGTTAACAATAACCAACCCCTGAAAGCCGCTCCTAAGGGAGGCCCACCTACACCGGTTTAACCACAGCCCTGAGCCCCCACAGCCATTTACACAGAAGTCAGCTCGTGACAACCAAAGTATTTTAAAAGACAAACATTACGGTACAGAGGTTCTGTGTTTGGTTAATGCTCACAGGGGAAATCACACACCCCATCTCGGTTTCCTAATTATCTTGCTATAAGTGCAGCAAACATACTCTTCAAAGTATGTTGTAGCAGTGAGGTTCCCTCTTGCCACTTTTTTAAGGGGATCCGGAGGAAAAAGGGGAAGGAGTGGGGGGGGGGGGGGGGGGGGGCAGGACTTCACATAGGTGTGGGAAATGGCCACTGTTATGGAATTAAGAAATACGGATATATTCCTTCTCATCTGGGTCAGAAAGTCAAAGGGAATGCTGATTGACAGTGACTACTGATCAACAGAAATCCTTTCCCCTGGGCGCCTGGGTGGCTCAGTCCTTAAGGGTCTGCCTTCAGCTCAGGTCAGGTGAGCCCCGCATCGGGCTCCCTGCCCCACAGGAAGCCTGCTTCTCCCTCTCCCACTCCCCCTGCTTGTGTTCCCCCTCTCGCTGTGCCTCTCTCTGTCAAATAAATAAATAAAATCTTTAAAAAAGAAAAGAAATCCTTTCTTTTTGTAATGCTGTAGGAAAGCATCAAACATTGTATGATAATAGAAACATGAGCAAAGACTGTGAACACAAGGAAATAGTCAATGACATGTAAAACACTAGAAAAGTGTAACATGTCAGAAAAATAAATGTCAAGTTGTGCATCCATATTTAAAAAAAACACAATACAAAAATTGTGCGCATACTTTTAATTGTGTTATTTCCTCACAACAAATTCATTACAAAATGTTAAGTTGTGCCCGATGAGGGAGAACAAATGGGCTTAAATTAATTAGGTTGTTCTCTTCCTTCCTCTTGTACCTCTCCGTTTCCCCCTTCTCCTCCCAAACACAGATCTGGCGGTCACCAGCACTGGCACGGGCCCCTGTCTGTCATCATCACTAGAGCTGCTGCTGGTCGCGCCCTGGTCGCTGGCGGGAGCTGGGGTCGCTGCGCTCTGCAAACCCGGGCTCAGCAAACCCGGGCGGCGGCCAGGTGACTCCGGGGCTGCTCTCTCCTGCTGCACGGTCACTGAAGACACACACACAGCGTCCTCACCTGAAGAGGTCCCAGATGACGGCGGCGAGAGGCAGGCCCCCCCCAAAAACCCGCCACATTTACTCTCTCGCTTAGAGTCAGAAAGCCTCTTTCTTTTCAGGCTTGATGACTCTTTCCATTTATTTGCTAGGCTTCTCTTCTGGGTGTTTCCTTCTGCCTTATCAGGGAACTCAAAGTCGTTTTCCATGGCAACGGACACTGCTTCTATTTCGCTGGCTGTGGCTTCTCTCTCTTTTCTCAGCATACAAGTCACAGCTCTGTTCAGTCTCTGGCTCCTAATACCCTTAGCATCTTGTCTCTCCTGTTGAGCTAATCTAAAGAAAGAATCAATTCGGAGCTGCGTCTAAAAAAATGAAATGAAATGATTAAAAAAAAAAAAATTTCAGGCAAGTCAGTCAACTTTCTGAAGCAAATCAAAGAGCTCCACCTTGGTCACTGGCTTTGGATGACTCTTTCAGAGAAGGTGCCTTCCTTACCTCTCAAAAGCCAAATCTCTCCCTCAGGATTTACTGAGAGTAAATTTTATTTTCTAGATCACACTTGAAGCAGTCCTCACCACCGGTCACCTAAGCCCTCCGTCCACATCTCCAATAAGAACCCCCTTCCCAGGCACTCAAACAGAGTCAGGTGTTTTTCAGTAGCCAAATATGCCAACTTCTTTTGGAGTACCACAGTTTTGTGCGGTCTGTGTCTAAATTCCACTCCTCCCTTCTCTTCAAAACATGGTCATTGTGCAGTTCGTTGAGGAGGCAACCCACACTGCATACTGGGAAACGGTCATGGTCTTTGTTTAGCAAATCCACATTTGGCAAGACATTATTAAAATAATAGTTGCCTGTGGAGACAGTTTTATGCCTAACGTTCATCACAGCATTATTTATGAAAACCTGAAAATCAAGGGTCCACTAAGTGCGCTGAACCCATAAGTGAAACCTCTTTGATGCAAGGTAATCTGGTCGTTTGAAATTATGAAAACCATGCAATATAAAGAAAAAATCTTATGTTAATAAGTATGAGGGGGAGTTATATAGATCAAATTGCATTTATGTATGATAACAAATATATGTGCAAAGGAGGGGGGAGAGGAAAAGAAAATAAACCTATATGTTAATATCTGTCAGAGAAAGTAAATAATGGATCATTTTAATTCACTTTTTTCTAATTTTGGGGAAATAAATTTATATAACTTCTATAATGTAAAGGAAGAAACATATTACAACACAATGTACCTGAAATTAAGGAGTAATCATCACAAAGCCGACACGCTTTCCTTGGCTGTTGGCATACAATGGCTCCATTACAGAAAGTCATCACATAAGCAAGGGAGACGCTTTTCAGAAAGGCCGTCCACCTCAGTTTTACCTATGTTTTTTCTAAATTAACCAAACCTAATGACAATAGATTTAAATACGTGTACTTTCTAGGATATGGTCTCACTACTAAGTGGTTTACCTGTACATATATTTTGGAGGTTGTTCCCGGGGTGAGAACAATCTTCTGTATGGGTGGGAATATACTCACAGATAAAGCGAGACACGATTACCTACACCCACCCCACGAGAGAACTGAGAGCCATACAAAGGCCTCATCTCAAAAATCTCTCCTGCCAACATGCCATAGTGATGATGACTCATTTATAGAATGAAGGAGCATTTGTACTCGAAGAGAATTCAATGATCAGGATTTGCTTTGGACTGGACACTTCCCAGAATTTTTTTAAATGAAAATAGCTCTGAAAAACTAAAATATTCAAGCATAAACATCTCAGTATGCAATCCATTATTAGCCTGGTTTTTTCAAAGGCAGAATGAACATGCACAGACACGGAAGTCCAGCCCTAAGAGTGAAATTGAGAAATGAAGACAAAGTGCAGTTTTCCCTTTTTCTGTTTTCTTCTGTTCTCTTATCTAAAGTGTAATATTTTTGTATGTTACATGCTCTAAAATAAAAGAGTAACGGGTCTTTAATAGCTGCTACTGGCAGCCTTTCTTGGTTCACTCCTCACCCTGAAGTTAGGAAAAGAGCTGCCATGATTACCTGCTGGGCGTTCAGTTGCTTTAATACTGGAAACAGAGACTCGTCTGTCTTCGTCCTGTTCCACCCAAAATAACGCTGACAAAATATGCAGGCAGTTAAGGCTTCTACATGTTTTTAAAGATATTTAAACAAGTGATAAATAAAAAGGTGCAAAGAACTCACCTGTAATTCCATTCCCCGTATCTCTAAAGATTTTCACATTTATAAAGAATAAAGTGGTAAGAGAACAAATGACAAAACAAACTACTGCAACATAATCATGTGGCATGTCTCCTGTTCAATGTCCTCTAAGAGAAAACATACCCAACTCTCATTTTAGGACATCAAAGACTCGTTACTCTGAGAAAAGGTTAACCATTTAGAATAAAAACAAGTTTCAGATATCATACATATTTCTTTGAGAGAAAAAAACTGTAGTTAGACTAATACTATTGCAAACATTTAAGCATCTATCCAAATGATGATTTAAATATGTAAAAAGGAACATATAAATAAGAATGAATAAAACTAATCATCTTTTCTATTCTTTCAGAATGAATAATAATTATGTGGTTGTACCTTGAATGTTTATCACTACCTCTTTCAAATAAAGATCCTCTTCACTCTAAAGAGACTGTTCATAATAGCTAAAACATGGAAGCAACCCAAGTATCCACCAACAGATGAATGGATAAGCAAAATGTGGCATATCCACACAATGGAATGTTATTCAGCCTTAAAAAGAAAGGACATTCTGACACATGGTACAGCATGGATGAGCCTTGATGACACTGTGCTCAGTGAAATAAGCCAGACACGAAAGGACCAATACTGAATGATTCCACTTGTATGAGGTACTCAAGTCCTCAAAACCCTGAAGACAGAAAGTAGACTTGGTGGTCACCAGGGTCCGAAGGGAGGAGATGGGGAGTTGTTGTTAATGGGTCTAGAGCTTCAGTTCTTTTCGGATGAAAAGAATGGGGATGGATGTGGTGACTGGTGATTGTTGCCCAACGATATGAATGTATTTAATGCCATTGAATGGTATGCTTCAACTGTTAAGATGATAAATTTTGTTATGTATATTTTACCACCAAAAAAACAAAAACAAAACAAAAACAAAAAAACCTAAGGAAAGAGAAAAAGGAGCATCTTAAACAAAGTATTAAGAAAAAGCTGATCCAAGTGTTCCCTCCAACTCAAAGGAAAACATATATTTGGCTCAGTGCTCCTTTAGGTCGAAGGGGTAAAAGGATACTCTCTAATTTTGTCCAGATCCGGCCTCCCCCACAGAAACGACCCCCTGGACTCGTCCACCACAGGTTTGAGGTAAGCATCTGCAACGGCTGGGTTGGGAAAGCCAGGTGTGAGCTGCAGCTTGCGCAATTTTTTTTTCACTTTGGTGTCATATGGGTTGGGTCTTATCTTCTTACTTTTTTGAGCTTCATGCCACCACTCTCTACAAGGCAAAGGAGACAAGATTTCATGACATTATAGTGGATGCACTGCAGATAAAGGGCTATGCTTAGAAGATGTAAACTCAAGCCCCAGAACAAATTCCATGAGCCACAGAGGAACCATGGCAAACACTGACTGCAAGCTTACTCTGCGCCTGGCACCATGTCAGCGGTCATATATGCCGCTCGTCACCAGAGCACAGTCCTACGTACCACTGTCATCACCCCACAGAGGAAGAAACCGACCCCAAGCACAAGTCAGTACCTGCTCAAGACTTCACAGGGGGCACTGGTGCAGTCAGACCCTGAGAATCGCCCGTCAGGGCCCACAACTTCTCTGGGGCTCTTTCTCAGCAGGAAAATGAGGTCACATATCTGTATCATTTACTTCAAATCAACTACAATAACAGACCCAAGAATATTTAATAATACGTAAAAATGCCAAGAACAGGTTACATCTTAAAAATGCAGAACATGACTCTATAGAAAGTAGAACCTCAATTTTGGAGAAAATGCATATATGTGAAGAAAGGAAACATATACAAGGCAATTTAAAATAATAAAAGCAATGACAACTATTATTTTACTGTGTTAGGCAATGTTCTAAGCAAGGATACAGCTGTTCATTTTCTTCTTTATATTTCATTCCTTTTTCAGTTTTTCCATTGTGATCAGAAATTACTATGGCAAGTTAAAGACAGCCCCACACCCTTTGCTTCTCCTCCCATCCAGAAGTGGGGCCCATGTCCCCTCCCTGAGCCGGGTGGGCTCTGTGACGGAGGAAGGGACGCTGTACCAGGTCTTCAGAGCCTGCTGTTTCCACATCTGGACCCTTAAGATATCTGCCTCGGAAGCAGCTAACATGCTGTGTGAGGAAGCTCCAGATGGAGGGGATCCAGATGGAGGGGGTCCAGATGGAGGGCGTCCAGATGGAGGGGGTCCGAGGCCCCGGCCCACAGTTCTGGCTGAGCTCCCGGCCAACATCAGCACCACTGGCCAGACACATGGCTCCCTCACCAGCGGATCCTCTAGCCCAGCTGAGCTGCCCCCTGACATACACAGAGCCCAACAAGACAGGCCCACACAGCCTCACCAAACTGCAGATCCATGGGCAAAAATCAATGACTGTTGGAAGCCACTGAGGTTTAAAGTATTTTACAACGTGGCAAGGGACAACCGGAAAAATTTATACAATTAGGAAGAATGAATGGCATAAAGTTAAAAGCAAAGAAAACCCTCACCAATCTACACATTCAATGAAACATTAAAAAAAAAAAAAAAAAAAAAACACTCTGTTCTGTTGCACTGCTTCCCATCCTTGCCAGGTGGGACACGGACTCTGATCTGCTCTCAGCCAGTGCCTCATTTCACCAGTGCAGGAGTGCCGCCTAGCATTACAAAAGACTAACTGCAGTCTTCACTGCAGCATCAAAAGGCAAAAAGGAACTAAGATCTGTCTTCATCAGTTTTACAATACCATTTCCAGGAGTGCACTAAGAGAACACCTATAATTCTCGCCTATTCTCTTTTGAATTTCCATCTTTGAGATAAGGAATCAGGATTGTCAGCGAGGTTGAGCAGCACAACAACATGCCGAGCATTCATCCCACTGAGAGAATCTCCCCCTCCTTAAAGCAGGAGGGCCAGGCACTGCCATAAAGATGAAAGATGGCCTCCGCCAGTCAGCTGAACTGTGGGGAACACGGCAGGGAGTGGGAGCGACTGTGCTAGGATGGAAGGATCTGTGCCCGGGCCAGGTTGGTGGGGGTGACTGCCGTTCTCTGTCCCTGCTCTTCCAGGGACATCTGGGCATTTGGGCCCAGTGTGTTCAGATCTCATTTCCCCCCAAGAGAACCCAAAATGTTCAGTGAAATCTCCCCTAATTTAAATGTTGGTAGCCGGGACACCTGGGTGGCTCAGTCGTTAAGGGTCTGCCTTCAGCTCAGGTCATGATCCCAGGACCCTGGGATCGAGTCCTGTGTCGGGCTCCTTGCTCAGCGGGGAGTCTGCTTCTCCCTCTGCCTGCCGCTCCCCCTGCTTGTGTACTCGCTCTCTCTCTCTCTAATAAATAAATAATAAAATCTTAAAAAAAAAACATATCCCTTCTTATGGGGCACCTGGGTGGCTCAGTCATTAAGTGTCTGCCTTCGGCTCAGGTCATGATCCCAGGCTCCTGGGACGGAGCCCTGCATTAGGCTCTCTGCTCAATGGGAAGCCTCCTTCTCCCTCTTCCACTCCCCCTGCTTGTGCTCCCTCTCTCACTGTGTCTCTCTCTGTCAAATAAATGAATAAAATAAAAATAAATTCTTCTTTAAAAAAATAAATAAATATTGGTAGCCAATTCACAATGAAGGCTCCACAAAAGAGGGCACTGTGTAGGCCTAACCAAACACAGCTAGGCTGATTTCAGTGGGCAGGCCCAGAGTAGCTCCACCTTAAAGGGGGGTGATGAGCTGGAGTCTGGTTAGGGGAAAGGGAAAGCGGAAAAGAAAGCAAGGCAACACTCTCAATTTCACTGCTCTTCCACCTCTCCTCAGGCTCTCTAACTGCATCTGTCTTCACGTCCCCGAGCCAGGAACAGCTCCGGCTGCTCCTCTCTGCCAGCCACCAGCTGGACAACCAGAGCAGAAATGGCTAAAATGTAAACCACCCAACTAACGAGAGAAAAGAAATATGGCATAAATAGGCATTCACTCTATCAGAAATGCAAATTTTCAACAAACAAAAAAATTCAGGATAGCAAATTAAAAATCTAAATACCATTTTTACTTATCCTATAATAATCAGATAAGAACCCAACAATATGTCTCTGAAGGCACTCAAATCACGTTTGTTCAGACTTTAAAAAAAAAGAAATAACAATAGGCATGTGATTAATCACAATACATCAGAAGACTACTATGGAGTCATTAAAAACTGTTACTCATCTATACATTGTTGACAGTATGCCTTGTTCTATCACCAAATGAGTTATAGGTTAACATAAAAAGAAACAATACACACTTGTATGACTACAGATATATATATATAAAAAGTCTGAGTACACTGTGCACAGAAAACTCTAAAATTATATAAACCAAAATGTTAACTGTAACCATCTTTTTAATTCATATTTCATAATTTTTCTATTACTATTTGTACAGTCAAGTTATTTGTAGTTTTTCAAGTTATTTAAATACCATGACCTATGAGCTACCCAATAACTTACTGCCAGTATATTATTTCCTCAATAATATGGAAATCATGAGGAGAGATACAAAAAGTGTAAAATAAATACACTGGTACATGTGCTACAGCTAAAGAAGAGCAAACATTAAAACGACTTCTGCATTTAAGTTTTAATTTTTAATCACTGATTCTTAGACCAGAACATCTGAGAATTTTTCAGACACAGGAGATACAACTGGAAAGAACTCCAAAGAACCATTAAATCAACTCCTACCAAATAGTATCTCATGACAAGTTGGTGGTTAGAAATGCCATCACAACCTTGTGAATAGACTAAAAACCACTGAACTGTGAAATTTATGGTATGTGACTTATAGTCCAATTTTTTTAAATGCCATCGAGGACCAACCTTAAGAAGGAACTCCTTTCACGGACATCCTCCTCAACACCACTGTCCCAGAAACTCCATAATTAAAGTGTACCCCAAAGGCAGCACAATGGTGGGTTCTGGGTGGAATGCACCACCATCACTAAACACATCAGAGTACACGCAGCAAGAAATGGGACAGCAGGGCCTGAGGTAAAGCTCTCAACATTGTACTTCCATGCCACTCTGGCTCCTCTTTCAGAGCACTCGACACAGGGAAGTGCAGGGACGTGTTTGCTTCTGTCCCAAGAGCGTGGAGCTCCTTGAGAGCACAGCCTACGGCTTAGTCAACTAGGGAAAGCGGAAAAGAAGCCTACCCCAGCCTAGCAGGGCATCTGACACAAGAGCAACCACTCAATCCATATCTGAATGAATGAAATGGGAATTTCTACTTGCCTATGGAATCCCACAGACCTGGCTATGTAGCCCCTTGAACTAGGATAAGCCTGGTGCCTCTAAAAAAATTGTCTCTGATTTCACTGAAGTCTAGAAAGGGAAAACAAATTTGGTAACCCAATCAATTCCGGTGATTTGTGACACTTCATGATACAAATAATAGTTCTGTTTGTTAAATTGGGTTTTTTTTTTTTTTAAGACTTATTTATTTGAGAGAAAGAGAGCAAAAGAGAGAGAGCAACAGAGAGTGTGTGCATGCCTGCGCAGGGGAGAAGAGCAGAGGGAGAAGAGAATCCCAAGCAGACTCCATGCTGAGCACTGAGCGCTGAGCGCAAAGCCCAACGTGGACTTGATCCCAGAAACCCGAGGCCATGACCTGAGCCAAAACCAAGAGTCAGATGCTTAACCAACTGCGCCACCCAGGCACCCTAAATCAGATATTTACATAAACATTTTAATTAAAGAAATTAAGAAAGAACTTACGAGAATTTTAGGAGAGGCTCCAGGCCATGTCCAGGGAATTCATTGAGAATTTCCATGGCTGTAACACAACCTACAGTTGGTATTCCTTCTGTATAATCACTTCCAAGCAAATAGGCCAAATTTATTAATTTGTTCCGGTCTAATCCTATAAAAGTAAAAACATTTTATATTTTTTAAATTTTTATTAGAACACACCAAGCAAGATTCTGGCCCTTTGTCTGACATGCTCATCCCTAAGGTATGTACCACACTCACTACCTCTTTTCTTCAGGCCCTAGCCCAAAAGTGACCTATTAGTAAAGCCTTTCCTGACCACAGCTCTATATACAACAGCACATGCTCTTCCTGTGACTGCAGGTCACCCTCTCCTCTTCTACAGCTTTGTTTTTCTACATGGATTATGTTTATTATCTGTTTCTCGTACTAGACTTGTATTCTCCACTGTTTCCCCACCGCCAAGAACAAAAATTGGCATACAGGAATCACTCAATATGTATTTGTTAGATGAATGGAAAAATGAAGAATCACTGCCAGAAACACTAACACGGGGCCATGGAGCTCACCTGCCTCCCTTCTCTACCACCTTTGGTTTACTCCAGAGATCTCGGATAACCAGTCAAAGTCTAAGCAGGTCAGGTAATTAAAACTGCAGAAAATGCCTAAACATTACTAGGGTTTTAATTTCTTAATTCTAATTTAAAAATCCTATTCCTCTCTAGAAGCAAAAGATCATTTACATGAAAACTTGTAGAGACCCACCATTTCCTAATTAATACATCAAACTAGTTCCTTGGAAAGGAAAAAATTCAAAATACAAATTCTAAAGGTAAATCTCAAAAAGTACTCATACTCTGAAGTCTTACCAAGTTGGTTGTGAAAGTCCACATACTGGTAATACTCTACAAACTTGTTTTTATTAAAAAAGTTTTTATAGACATGCCGTGCTCCGAAGAGCCAAATATCACTATCATCAGTGATTGTTCCAGAAGTCTGATCGGTCAGATCTAGGATGGCGCACTGTGCCTCTGCTTCCATGGGAGCCTCGATGTAGGGAATGCCAAACAGGCGAAGAAGTTCCTGGAGAGTTAGAGACATGCCGTGACCCCCGGGAAATGCGGGACTCGGCCTTGACCAGAAATGGGAGCAGTGCGCACACATTTCATCGAAGGCATCCCCTTGGGGAATCGCATTAAATAAAACCAGCGGTAGGAATTGCTAAAGGAGGCCTGGTTTGTACACCTACCTGGCTTTCCAGGAACATCTGCCCTGTCACGGTAGCAGCAATCCGTTCTTGCTGCTGTTTTTGTGCTTTCAATGAATTCTGCTGTGCTAACAGGCTGCTCTCCAGAGTTTCCAGTTCCTCCTGCAAAATAATTCTATCTGTAGATAATTATATTAATGATCCAATTAAACTCATTTGTTACAAAAAGCCTGCATTTAGTCTGACTAAATTACCAAATAAGCGTTCCTCCTTAGGAAGTTTCCCACTTGGATTTCTGAGCAGGTCTGTAATATCTTTAGAGTTCCCTCACTAAATCACCCATGTTTTAGTTTAAATAAATGGAATTTTTAAAAAACAGAGTGAGGGGCGCCTAGGTGCCCCAGTCCATTAAGCGTCTGCCTTCGGCTCAGGTCATGATCCCGGGTCCTGGGATCGAGCCCCGCGTCGGAGCCTGCTTCTCCCTCTCCCACTCCCCTTGCTCGTGCTCACTCTCTCCTTCTCTCTGTCTAATAAATAAAATCTTAAAAACAACAACAACACAGTGTGAGATACCACTTCCCACCCACTAGGGTGACCAGAATCAAAAGGCCAGTATTAGTGTTGATGAGAATGTGGAAAAACTGGAACCCTTATACACTGTTGGTGGGAATGGTGCAGCCACCTTGGAAAACAGTCTGATGGGGCCTCAAAACGTTAAACACAGCTACCTGTGACCAGCAATTCTATTCCTAGGTGTACACCAAAGAGAAATGAAGATATACATCCATCCCCCAAAAAAAACCTGTACATAGATGTTAACAGCAGCATTATTCATAATAGCCAAAAAGTGTAAACAACCTAAATGTCCATCAAATGATAAATGAATAGGGGCGCCTGGGTGGCTCAGTTGGTTAAGCGACTGCCTTCGGCTCAGGTCATGATCCTGGAGTCCCAGGATCGAGTCCCGCATCGGGCTCCCTGCTCAGCAGGGAGTCTGCTTCTCCCTTTGACCTTCCTCCTTCTCATGCTCTCTCTCTACCATTCTCTCTCTCTCTCAATAAATAAATAAAAATCTTTAAAAAAAAATGATAAATGAATAAAAGGTGGTTCATATCCATATGATGGAATACTATTTGGCAATAAAAAGAAAGAGTACTAACACATGCTACAACATGGACGGACCTTGGAAACATTCTGCTAAATGAAAGGAGCCAGAAACAAAAGACCACAGGTTGTATGATCCCCTTTATATGAAATGTCCAGAAAAGACAAACCCATAGAGACAGACAGTAGATGAGTGGTCCCAGAGGTGGAGAGGAAGGGACAGGGAATGACAGCTAATGGGTACAGGGCTGTTTCTGGGGGGGATGGAAATGTTCTAAAATTGTGATAGTTGTATAACTCTGTGAATTACACTAAAAATTATGAATTGTAAAAAATAAAATGTCAATTACTATACCCTCAAAAATATGAAATAATTGGAGATAAATCTGACAAAGGATGTGTAAGATTTGTACACTGAAAACTGCAAAACACTGCTGAGAAAATTTTAAAAGATCTGAATAAATCAAGATATATCCTTTGCTCATGGATCAGAAGATAAGAGTGTTGCTAAGATTTAACTCCCCCCCAAATCGATCTGTATATTCAATATGATCTCATCAAAACCTTAGGCAAGTTTCATACAAATTGAGAAGCTAATTCTAAAATTCATATGGAAATGCACAGGATTTATAAAAGTGAAACAACTTTGAAATAAACAAAGTTGGAAGATTCACACTCGCACTGCCTCGTTTCAAGAGTTACTGTAAAACTACAATTTGTGATGTGTTTTGAGTTGATTTTGCTATATCACACTCAGCACCAAAGTTGTTTTTTTTTTCCTAGGGCCAGTGCAAAGACTCCTTTCTCCATCCAACTGCCTTTGTAGCATTGTTGAAAATTTGTTCTCCATATATGCATGGATCCATTTCTGTACTTTCTATATTATGTTCTATTGATCTATTTATCTTTATGCCAAGAGCAACCTGTCTTGATTACTGTTGTTTGCTTCTATTGCAGGACTCTATTTCGTTCTAGTGATCCATGTATCTATCCTTTAGCCAATATCATACTCTCCTGATTACTGTAGCTTCACAGGAAATCTTGATATCAGGTAGTATAAGTCCTCCAATTTTTTCTTTTTGGAAATTGTTTTGACTACTCTAGCTTCCTTGCTTTCCCGTATAAATTTTAAGAATCAGCTTGTTAATATCCATCATTGGGTTTTTATTAGAATTCTATGAATCTATGGATCAGCTTGGAGAGAACTGATATCTTAATATTGGGTCTTCCCATCCAAAACCACATCTATTTAGGTCTTCCCTGATTTCTATCAGTGTTTTGTAGTTTGAAATACGTATCTTTCACATATGTTGTAAGCTCTACAGGTAAGTGTTTTATGCTTTTAGGTGTTATTGTATGTGGTTCTTGCTGTGGACTGAATTGTGTTCCCCCAAAATTCATTGTTAAAGTCCTAACCCCATATGTGATTGCATCTGGAGATGGTGTCTTTGGGAGGTAATTAAGGTTGGTGGCGCCTGGGTGACTCAGTCGTTAAGCGTCTGCCTTCGGCTCAGGTCACAGTCCCAGGGTCCTGGGATCCAGCCCCGCATCGGGCTCCCTGCTCTGCGGGAAGTCTGCTTCTCCCTCTCCCACTCCCCCTGCTTGTGTTCCCTCTCTCACCGTGTCTCTGTCAAATAAACAAAATCTTTAAAAAAAAAAAAAAAAAGGTAATTAAGGTTAAATGAGGTCATAAGGGTGGGGCCCTAATTTGATAGGACTGTAGCCTTATAAAAGAAAGATATCTCCTTCCCTCCCTACCCTCTCCCCCGCTCCAGCCCCCTCCCCCACCCCAACCCCCCTCTCTCCCCACCACATGAGTACATGGCAAGAAGGCAGCCATCTGCAAGCCAGAGAGCTCTCACCAGGAACCAAATTAGCCCGCACCTTGATCTTAGATTTCCCAATCCCCAGAACTACAAAAAAATAGTTAAGAAAAAAAAAAAGCATGCAAATATCTGATAAATGTTCATCCAGTAACTCCTTCAAGTTCAAAAGCTATTTAACTTGGCTCTTTCTTAGCCGTAAATTAAAACTCGATGTCATATTATTACCAAATTAATATCTTGCCATTCATTGAGTGAACTGTCTGCATCTTTTTCAGCTTCTTCATGTGGCTCAGTGTCCAAAGCCTCACTTCCAGAGTTGTATCTTAGGAGGCCCTCAGAGTCACCAGTGGCTTCTTCCTTCTTAGTTCCTATCAGTTCTTCTTCATCTTGTCTGGAGGGAGATTTAGAAGCTTCATGTAACTCAGCCTGAAGTTCATCGTTACTAATTATACTCTGTACTTCGATGAAACTTCCTGTACCAAAATAACAAGGTCACTTTATTTACAAGTGAAACATTAAAATTATCCCAAAGTCATCAAGAGCATTCCAAAGTATCCTGAAAAATGTTTTACCCTGAAATGATCTGAATTTACTAGAAAACATGTAAGGCTAACATATTACTATTAAATAAATTTAATAATAAAAAATGAAGGGGGGAAATCAGAGGGGGAGACAAACCATGAGAGACTATGGACTCTGAGAAACAAACTCAGGGTTCTAGAGGGGAGGGGGTGGGGGGATGGGTTAGCCTGGTGATGGGTATTAAAGAGGGCACATTCTGCATGGAGCACTGGGTGTTATGCGCAAACAATGAATCATGGAACATTGCATCAAAGACTAATGATGTAATGTATGGTGATTAACATAATATTTAAAAAAAGACTATGGAGTGAAAAATAAATTCTGTTGTTTGTAAACTATTAAAAAATGCCTATAACTTCAAAATAAGCCTTATCCATTAGATAAACTGGCACTACCTTTGAAATTGGGAACCAGGCTTTCAAAGATTTGCATATAAGCTTTATACAGATATGCTAAGTTAACTACTGTTGTTTCAGAGTTCAAAAAGGAGAATTATCAGAGGATGTCAACAGTCATGTATGTTGTTATATGTTCTCATTTCACTATGGACATAGCAAAGAATAAAGCTGTGAATTAGTGGAAAGAATCCTGGAAAAGTACTCAGGAGAAATAGCTCTTCTCTTCCACCTTCCTTCCCTCCTCTCCTGTGTCTTGTCTTTTCTTTAAAAAGAAATGTGATTCCCTTCTTCAGGTGGAGGGGGATGGATTTCAGGATGCAATCAGGACAGAGTAGGCTGGAGACCTCAGAGTGGGGACTGGGGCCAAGGAGACAGCCAGGACCAAGGAGAACACCAATGGGACCAGGAGATGGTTACAAGTTAAGAGACAATAAGCAATAAGTCAATATGTTAAGGGCAATGGGAGTAAGGTTTCTCACTGTTAGAAGGGAAATTATAACAAAAGTGGAAGCTAAAATGAAATCTGTGATGTTGGATTGGAATGCAGGTATCGGTATGAACTCATAGATTTTTATACATGAAAATATACATTTATATATAAATATGTATTTATTTGTAGAGAAATAAATACAGATGGGTGTGTGCACATGCTTGTGTGTATATACATAAATATACTTCCTGCTCTGTCCCTGAGAGGGCCTGAAGCAATGACTACTCCAGTCCCAGTGAGCACACTCAGGGTCCAGATCTTGGTTTCTAAACATCATGCTCTATTACCAGAGAGACCTAGGACTCTCTGGTGAACTGGCTGGATCCAGGGGCAGGGCAGGGCAGGGAAAGTATAAGATAAATCTGGAATGTCTTGATCAGAAAGTAAAGAAATGCTCAAACTGTAAGAGGGAATTGTCAAAAGTCACAGAAGCCAGCCTGAAGGGGGCCCCCTCTGGCCAAAGCCAGGACGACTCCAACCATAAAGTACAACAGCATCATAAATCACTAAATAAAGTAAACTCTTGAGTCCACATGGATATTAAAAAAACAGTAAATGGGGAAGAGGGAAAAGATCCTCCTTTTTATAAAAGGACGTAAACTGAAAAATATGTAAGGAATGATGGAATTAGAAAACTGCCATTTGGCAGCCATCATAGTAACCATTTATTTAGGTAAAAATCATCAATGAATGCTGAAATAAGTGGGCAAAAATTTGTTCAGGAACAACATATTTACACAGCCTTTCCATAAAATACTAATTACAAAGGAGAAACAGTAACTTTAGAATGGAGAAACAGGGGGTGGGGGGATGGGTTAGCCCGGTGATGGGTATTAAAGAGGGCACGTACTGAATGGAGCATCGGGTGTTATACGCAAACAATGAATCATGGAACACTACATCAAAAACTAATGATGTGGGAGCCTGGGTGGCTCAGATGGTTAAGCGTCTGCCTTCGGCTCAGGTCATAATCCCAGGATACTGGGATCGAGTCCCGCATCAGGCTCCCTGCTCCTTAGGAGCCTGCTTCTCCCTCTGCTTCTCTCTCTCTCTCTCTCTCTTTCCCTCTGTCTCTCATGAATAAATAAATAAAAATCTTAAAAAAAAAAACTAATGATGTAATGTATGGTGACTAACATAATAAAATAAAATTAAAAAAAAAAAGAATGGAGAAACTCAGCAGACACCAGGAAAAAAGTTAGCTTGTGTGTGTGTACAATCAATTCTTGTTATTCACAACAGTATGTTCTATAAAGTCACTGTGAACACTTAATCCACGAGTACATCCTTGTTCATAGAGTAAATATATTTATAATTGCAAATCCTAAAAACAACCCATGTTGGCAAATTCTAATTTCTTTATCTTACAAAAGAGAAAATGAATATCAGGAGTATTAAGAGACTTGCCTGAGGCTGCCCCACTAACAGGTGCTGGAATTGGGATTCAAACCCCATCCAACTAACCCGAACCAGAGCTTCTTGGTCTACACTGCACTGCTCTCTCCCATATTAACCTTCTGGTCACCTCTGTGGGATAGCTGCAACACAAAGGCAGAGTGACACCTTGTTCAACCTCAGCTGGGAGTGGTATGGCAATTCAAACTTCTAGCCACTTTACTCAGGTCCATGAATGACCACAAAGATACTACTGCTAAGTATTGATTCTGGGGTTACAAATAAATTTTAGTAAGTAGGCAATTTCACAACTAAGAAATCTGTGAATAATTAGGATCGACAATATAGAAGTCTGTATAGATGTAAATATATAGTAAACATGTATATGTATATAAATATATTAAAGAGATATGATAAAGCACATGTGGTTAAATGCTAGCCATTGAGGTACTGCGGGAAGGAACCAGAATGTTCTGTAATATTCTTTCAACTTTATTAAGTTTATAATTATTTCAAAAAAAAAAAAAGTAAAAAAAACCTGAAAGACTCACTTTCACCTTTTCCAACTGGTACTCCCTCCTTTTAAAAACAACAAAAAAGAACCAGCTGTGTGTCCTTGGGAGAGTCGTTTCACCTTTCTGGGCTCCTCATTCATCATTGGAACAAAAGTGGGAACTAGACTACACTGCAGGATCTCTCCATTCCTGGAGATGCGAAACCCTACCGTTCTGTATATCTGGAAGAGTACAAGCACCTACCATCAGATTCACTTTCTTCAGAGTCCATTTCCATTGGCTCCACGGACTTTGGAACTGAAATTAAGTCCTGGTCTGCAGATTCCACTGTCTCATGTTCTTGGATGGTTTTCAGGAAATTCTCATGCTCTTTAGAATTAAAGGATACTGCATTTTCCAAGTTACTTATTGCCTCTGAAGGGACACTTTGTGTATTACTTGTTCCTTGCAAACTGACAGTGTCAGTGATTTCAGAAATGGGATTTTTTTCACCTTCTGCTTCATCATCACTTGAAAGAACAGAGGAGTCGTATTTGGGGCCTGATGGGCAAAGGTCTTGTTGTAGTCCAGGTTCTTTGGTGTATGTTTCATTTCTTGATACAGAACTTGAACTCATCAAAGGTACTGGTGTCAGTTGTCTCCCACCCTGGAGTCTAGGTGCATCGCTGTGCATCACCACTGTGCTTTCTGAAGGAACTTGGTCTTTTCTACTCTTAACTGTAGACTCATCGCTTGTCTGAAAGGTTTCACTCACCACGTGCATAAGTGACATTTCTTCTTTTAAAACACTAGATTCACTGCCTGGACAGAAGATGGGACGGGACAAATGAGCTGAGTCTGCCAGCCTCCTGTCACTGTCAGGGCTGGTTTCATGTGCAGAGTTCACACAAGTTAGATGGGGTCCTGATGGCAACAGCATTCCTTCTCCATCTCCCTCTTTTAGGCCCCCAACAACTTCTTCATGGCAACGGTTCTCAAACAGTGTTTTCACTCCTGACCCTCCTGCCTGCACGTCCTTTCCAGCATGTGCTTCCATGTCTTCATCATCATCAAGGACCTTCTGAATGGCTAAGAGAGTAAGCGGTGACACAGGTGCATTCTTCACATCAGACTGCTTTTGAGTCTCACGCTCCCACTCCTCTTCTGAGCTGCTTCCCAGCATGGCAGTCTGCATGTCCAGGAAAGTTCTTGGAGAAGGAGGGGTAGCAGCAGGCTCTTCCTCTGGCTTCAGTTTCTCACATGGAGATGACTTCATGTCAAAAGACCTGCTGTGCATTTCGCTGGAAGAAGGAAGAGCCTCTGAACCCACCTCTGCAACTTTCTTAGCTTGAATACCTTAAGAAAAATTAAAACATTTCTCATTATATAGTTTTACAGTGAGACAATATACTTCCAGTAAGATGAATAAAAGAATACTGGTTCTCATGAATGAAGTTATAAATTTTCATTTGAACAGCACTAAGAGTTAAATTTGTTATTTAATTTTAAAGTGGGTTTGTACAGGAGCACTGAGTAACGTACAGAATTGTTGAATCATTATACTGTAAACCTGAAACTAATAGATAACACTGTATGTTAATTATACTGGGAGTAAATAAATAGATAAATTTTAAATAAATAATAAAAACAAAGAGGGTTGATACAATAGTAGGTAATCCATTAATAGCTACATATATTTATTATTACATAAGTAGGGTGGTAGTTCCTAGAATTTAGAGACATATTTTTGGTTTTTAACCATCAGGTAAGTGATGGTACCGAATACCTCTTATTAAGATGTAATGTGAAGTATCTTCAGAGACCACTCTCCTTGACTCCACCTCCTTCAAAAAGCCCCCTTCATCTTCATATTGCCTTTGGATTTGTCCTGACTGTTGCTGATTCATTTCCTTTTGGATATTTTCTATGTGTTGGTTTAGGTAGTTTTTTTTAAGCAAGCCTTTGAGCTGATACTGTGAAAAGTCATTAGACTCCTAAAATAAAATAAGTAAAATTATTTTTTTGTATTAAATACAGATAATGTTCCCACATTTCCATCCTTTTCCCCACAAAAAGACAGAGAGCAATTGATTTTTTCCATTGGTGACATTTTCATATTATAACAGTAAAATTTGAATACTAAGGAAAAAACTGTAACTGCCTTATTAAAAAATAATCTTTAAAACAAAAAGATTTAGGCAAAAGAAATCATGGATACTGTTTGTGCCTTAATCGTTTATTCAAAAAACAATTATTAAGCAGTAATGCATGCCAAGCACTGTGACATTTTGATTATGGCTTAATAAATAGATAACCTTCTGGAACGCAAGTAAATATGCAAGTAAAGTGGGGCACCTGGTGGCTTAGCCGGCTGAGCATCCAACTCTTGGTTTCAGCTCAGGTCATAATCTCACGGTTTATGAAATCTAGACAGGCTCCACACTCGGGGCAGGGTGGGGGGGTCTACTTGAGGATTCTCTCCCTCTGCCCCTTACCCTGCTTATGCTCTCTCGTGCACGCTCTCTAATAAATAAATAAATCTTTAAAAAAATATGCAAGTAAAGTGCCTAGCACAGTCCCTGATCCATAAAAGACACCTAATAATTCATGGCAATCACACTTAATAATGATTATAGTTCACATTTATAAGGCATTTTCTGTGAAGCCATTCTTCTAGGAGCTTTTATGTGCATCATCCCATTTTCTTTTCTTTTTTTTAAAGATTTTATTTATTTATTTGAGAGAGAAAGAGAGCACATGAGAGGAGGGAGGGTCAGAGGGAGAAGCAGACTCCCTGCTGAGCAGGGAGCCCGATGCGGGACTTGATCCTGGAACTCCAGGATCATGACCTGAGCCGAAGGCAGTCGCTTAACCAACTGAGCCACCCAGGCGCCCATCCCATTTTATTTTCAACCACCCCATGAGACCTATGTCATTATCTCCAGTCTACAAATGAAGAAGCTGAGACAAACAGGTTCAGTAACCTCCCTAGAGTTGCAAGGCTAGTGAGTGGTAGATGTGGGATCAAAAACAGGTTGCCAACACTACACTGCTTCTATTGCTATTATGTTATTACTTACCATCATTACTATTCTCAATATTGCATTTGTCCAATGATACAGAGGTCCACCCTGGATGACTCAGACCCTCTCTTCCCTATCAGAATTACAGGTCCCATGGGCTGCTGAGCCACACTACCCTCTACCCTACCATCTACCAATCCCAGGCTCCATGGTGATGGGAAAAGAACAAAAGGGAACAAATCATTAGGGACAATCTCCCTTCTTCCCATGCCTTCCCAACGTTGTTTACATAACCCAAATTCCATTTCCTCAAAGGCCAGCCCGAGATCCTTTCACACTCAAGAAATAAAGTGCTTGATACACAGGCTAAGCCTGGATTTTTTTCCCCTGAAATGAAAACAAATTTACTTCTGTCCTTTCTATATCATTTCTGTGCACCTTAGCATTTTCCTATGTTCACAATGTTTGTGGAAAAACCAAAGGACTGATAGAGAAAGAAACAGGACCTGTCTACCTTTTTCATATTTTTCTATCAATTTAAGAAATGTCCAAAAGTTTATAGAAAAAAAACCACTACATCCATTCATTAGGAACAATGCTGCTGCAAAATGTACATTCTGTCCTACAGTGAGTTAGAGAATGATGTGAGAAATAATAGGTGGTAGCAGTAGAAAGGAAAACAAAGCTCATTCACCCACTAAAAGCAGTAGTAATTAATGGTGTACCATGATCAGGAGACAAGCCTGACCCCAACTCGGCACACCACCTGCTCCAAGTTTCTGTGGCTGTAGAGCCACCAGAACATGCTCCAAGTTGAAGAATTTACCACTGAATTTCCTATTACCTCTGTCTAGAAAGAGGAAGAGGGAAGGTGAAGGTCCAATTGCATTTCTAGGCCTGCAGCCAAAGAAGAGACACCTGGAATATCAAGTTAGATTAGATTCTATATTACTGTTAGTATTCTACAGACAATGCATATTATGGGTTAAAATAACTTTTATGAACTAACCTAAGAATTGAACCACTAAGCATACACTGAACATTTACTATGTGAAAGATACTGACCTAGGTGCTGAAAATACAGAAGTGACAAAACAGGCACATTTGGATGCTAAGAACCATAAAGAGACATTATAGGGTGTTATGAGAACACAGAGCAGGAGATAAGACCTCGTGGTTTTTATTTCATTTTTTATAGACTTATTTATTTTAGAGAGAGAGAGAGCACGCACAAGCAAGGGGAGAGTGAGGGAGAGAAAGAATCTTAAGCAGACTCCGTGCTGAGCATGGAGCCCGATGCAGAGGCTCGATCCCATGACCCCGAGATCATGACCCGAGCTGAAATCAAGAATCAGAACCTTAACTGAATGAGCCACCCAGGCATCCCAAGACCCGGTCTTAAGTGGAAAGTCAAAAGGTTTCTTTGAAGAAATATGCATAAGTTCAAACTTATAAATACATGATGCTTCACAGAATCTCTGAGACACAAATGCTGTTTACTAGAAACAGATACTATATAAGTAATACTTATCAATTTCCTCTTTTTTCTAATAAAAAATTTTGCTGAAGCTCTAAGCATTCTAAGGATTAATGTGCTGTTGTATTATTTCACCTCTGGCATTGCTTCAAATAAGGTTCGTCTTCGCTTGGTAAATTCTTTCATATCAGTCAAGATTTCATGCTTTATTTCAAGAGGCAGGCTGCTGAAATCTTCAGACTCAATATCTATGGCATGAGGATTATGAAAGAACTCTTCCTGTAAAGAGTAAAAACGTAACCATGAAATTTACATTTTGTAAACTTAACTCTATTTACCCTGATATTTACTGCACTTATGATAAATAGTTCTACAAAATCTACAACAGATTAAACACAGTTGTACATAATCTGCAATAATCAATGAATAGGCAGATTGGGGAATGTAGCTGTTCACTCACTGATTCACTCTGAAGAAAAAATACTTACCAGACACCCCTAATGTGCCAGGCACTGTTCTAGGTGCTAGGGTACTGTGCAGATCATGCCAGACAAGGTCCCTACTCTTAGGGGTAGAGTAAGACAGAATAACCAAATAAATAAATGAACAAGAAAATAAAGCGGGTTAATCTGATAAGACAGTTGATTAGGAGAACAGGAAGAGAGAAAACATTTATTTGATAGACAGAGAAGACTTCATTAAAAAATGACGTGTGATGGGGCGCCTGGGTGGCTCAGATGGTAAGCGACTGCCTTCGGCTCAGGTCATGATCCTGGAGTCCTAGGATCGAGTCCCACATCGGGCTCCCTGCTCGGCAGGGAGTCTGCTTCTCCCTCTGACCCTCCCCCGTCTCATGTGCTCTCTCTCTCTCTCTCTCAAATAAATAAAATAAAATCTTAAAAAAAAAATGACATGTGAGCAGGGACTTGAAAGACACCAACAAGACTGATCAGGACATCCCAGGCTGCAGGAACAGCAACGACAAAGGTCCTAAGGCAGGGATGAGCCTTATGCATTTGAACAGTATCTGTAATTCCCTTAATTAGATTAGTTTTGTTTTGCTCTTCACCTATAATCAGAAATGAAGACAAGTGAGAAATTCACAGGCATGAAAAAGTATAAAACTTTTCTAAATTTAACTAATTACCAAAAGTACTTTAAAATTCTTCATTAGTAAAGAAAATAAAATAATAGAATGTGCTTTCCTGTAGGTAGGTATGTTGTATGTGCACGTGCCAACCAGCCAGCACTCAGGACAGGCCAGTCATGCACAGAACACCCCTTGCGTTCCCCATACAAAGGGAACACCTTAATGTTCCCATCAGCCTTCTGAGGAAAGCATCATTATCATTTTTGTTTCACAAAAAAAGGGGGGGAGATGGGAAATAAAGCCTGGGAGAAGTTAATTTGTCTAAGATCACACAGCTAGTGCACAGGAGAGCCTGGACTTAAGTGCAGGTCTTTCTGACCACGATGTTCATGGTCTTCACCAAGGCTGCTCTCCATTTGCTGTACTAATAATGCAGAACCTCTACAAGTTGAAGGAGCCTGAGGTTGTAGCGCAAAAGTCTTTCTCCAGATGCACCAAAATAATAGGAACATACAAAAACCAGTTAACTTGGGAATCAAAGAATGTTATCCACTATTCAAGAAACTTGAAAAAAACTCCAAAAACTTGTTTATTACAGTACAACCTCAATTTGTAAAAATGTCATTCATTAAAATATGTGTGGTGGTGGTTTTAAAACATGACCACAGGTTCTCTGACACCTCTTTTCATCTAATTCCCACCCCTTAAATAAGGGCTGGCCTCACTGACCAGCTTCTCACAGACAGAATGTGTAGGAAGAGAGGCTGCGCTATGTCCGAAGCTGACTAGAAAAGGCCACAGGGTCCCGGCAGGCAACTGCTCTCAGGATGCCTGCCCTTGGAACACAGTGCCATGCCGTGAGCGAGCGCAGGCCACATGGAGAAGCCACAGGCAGGTGTCCTGACAGCCAGTGTCAACCACCAGACATGCAAGTAAGGAAGCCTTGGAGGGGATGCCAGCCCCAGCTATGGACAGCCTGCATTTACATGGGAGCCATGCAGACAGGACTGCCTCACTGAGCTCAGGACCCCCAGCAGGAGGATGATAACAAACAACCGTTTTCACGCCACCAAGTTACACAGCAATGGAGAACTGGAACATAAGCACAGACATACGTTTACATATATATGCACACATGTGCACCTGACATGCATACACATACCCAAATACACACACGGATGTTCAACCATAAGGAGAGGGGCAGGAGAATGGGCTAATATATATCAAAATGTTACTTGAAGTTATTTATGGGTGGTATGTTTTCTATATTTTTATAGAAGTACGTATTACTATTTATACCCATTTATTGTTTAGTTGATTGGTTGTAAAAGAAAGAAGGCTTATTTTGGATATCCAGACATGCATGATGATAAATGCCATACAAATGTGTATGGGTGCCTGTGTGTTTGTACAGATGTACACATGCACACACGTATACACACACACAATAAAGAAGGCATGTGTCTATTTTTTATCAGGAACTTCCACAAATTCATACTACCTCATTATTCATTTTCATATCATCCATTTCAAATAACAGAATATATTCTGAATTCAAAAATTACGTAAGTACCTGTAATGCCTGTTTTTGACTCATTCTTTCTTGCCATTCTCTTTCATCTTCTTCTTCTGAACTGAAAGTCAAGCATACATTTACAGTATCTATGATTTAATGACAACTTATAAAAATACCTCTGGAGGCAAGGGGCCACTAGTTCTAGGGGCTAAGATGGTGACTAGGTTGGCACGAAACACACCATCATTGTTCCCAGAGCCGGGAGGGGACACGTGCCAGGGAGCAATTATAGTAGGAGCTGATGATGTCCATCACAAGGGAGGAGCAGGTTGCTCCAGGTTGCAATAAGGGGAGTCACCTCTCTCCAATTGGGGGGGTGGGCGGTCCCTAAAGTTTCCTGGAGTCTCTGGCAACTGCACTGCTTGGACTTAGCCACAAATAAGAGAGGGGTCTAGTTGTAGGGTCTGCAGAACGTTCATGGAGACAAGTGTTCCAGGCAGAAACACTACGTTCTATAAACATCTGGAAACAAGGGAAGGAAAGCCTGCCTGGAGACAGTGTAAAGAGGGCCTGGTGAGGTTGGGGAGGCATGTGATTAAGAGGCTGGAGTTTTATCCTAAAGAAATGAGAAGCTAGGAACCGTTTCAAGCTCCAAAATAACATTATCAGGTTTGGGTTTTAACAGATTCTACACCACAAAGCAGAGATTGAACTTGACTGGTAAGGGTTCCAGCGAAAGGGAAGATCAAAGACAAAGACAGAGAAAGAAGTGTGGAAGCCTTTATGGTACCTCAAGCAAGGGTGATGGTGGCAGCGATGAAGAGAAACAGAACTGGCCTGATTCAAAAGCCACTTGGTGTCTCAGAAGCCCCTGGGAAAGGAATGCAGGCAGGTGGGGGCAGAGACACACTGCCAGGCCCTCCGCCTGCACTTCAGCCACAGAAACAGCTGACAGTGAACAGAGAGCCAGAGGAAGAGTCCACAGAGGAGCCTGAGAAAGAGTGGCCGGAGAGGTTCCCAGACAGCAGGACAGCACAGGTGCCGAGACACGTGCCGCTAAAAAGTACAGGAAGCTGACACCTGCAGAGCTTCTACTGGATTTAGCAAGGAGGACATTGTGTATGGTCTCTTGGCACGGTGGTAAGAGTCAGAAGACACAGGCTGAGAAACAGGTAGAGATAGTATGTAAAAGCAAAGGGTAGGAAACATGATAATCCACATCTTCAGAAATTACACACGAACAGTGCTAGCACAGGATCTGCAGAATGAAGAGACAAACCAGCACAAACTACCAAAACACAAGGCAAGTTAGTCACTAAAAAATTTAGTCTTTGAAAAACATTCTAAAAGGTGTCAAGAATGCATTTGCAGACGCATTAATTCCCACATGCCTTAACATGTAGATAGACACAAAGGTCTGTATCTGTCTGAATACATAGACAATTACTATTTTTAAATAGTTGAACATTTACCTATTTTTCTCTTCCTTCTGTAAAGGTGGCAAAACATAGATGTCATCTTCTCTTTGAACTTGAGTAAGACTGGGCAGTGCTTCATGTCTGAAAACACACACAGACGTAGGCAGAGGTGACAGGAAATAGGACACTGAGTCAGGAAGACTCCCCTGCTTACACAAGCCCTGCTGAGGGGGTGAGAGGGGGAAAACCACGGGGCGGGAACAGGCTTCTCCCTACTGCCCAGGCTGCCCAGGCCGCTGCTGTAGGAAGCAAGCGTGGCCTCGAGAGAAAGGGGAAGCCTGCCGCGGCTCCCGGCACCTGGCCACAGCCTCAGCTGCAGGCGCGGAGACGTGCCTTATGAAAGTACAAAGTGCGGGCAACGCGACACTACCGTTTTTCTCTCTCCGTATCCAAGCTGACTCTCACCTAACAGAGAATTTTCACGACTTCCAATTACTGGGTCAAATGGGCCCACTTATCCCTCTGATTTCACCGTCTGTTATCTGCCAAGTTAAAATCAAGGAAAGGGAACCACAAGAATTCAAAGCGAAAGTTAAAAGCCTTTAATCTTTAAAATTAATGTAATTTGCCTCTTGCCTTTTGCTTTTTAAGGCAGTTTTGATAGCTTGTCTTTTCAAAAATGTTTTCAAAAGCTTCTCTGTAGTTTTTCTGGAATCAGTGGTTGCCAAATCCTTTCTGTGCCTTCTCTTAGCCTGTGAAAACAAAGGACATAGGATTCTGTTTCAGGGTATTAGTATATTAAAAACATTTCTGTGACTTTTTTCCATAGAATTTGGTTTGTCTGAGTTTCAGATTATGACTGCTTTAGTATTTCCTCCAACTGTCTGTCGTATCAGTGGGTATATTCAGGCTTCTGCTACGTAAAGGACACTGAGTCTCCATCTACCTACTACTAAATGGACTAGCTAGGATACAGTATTTGGCAAACTATTAATTTACTTTCAGTTTCTTTTAAATGGCCCTTAATGTCCCCAGGAAGCCTACAACTTAATAATATATAATTAAGTAAACGTTTCTCAAAAGGGATTATATTAATGTATTCTTTAAAATGTTACTGATACACCAAAACCAATTTCTGGTATTGGTCTTTATAAAAATACATTACCTGGGACACCTGGGTGGCTCAGCTGGTTAAGTGTCTGACTCTTGACTTCAGCTCAGGTCATGATCTCATGGGTCATGGGATCAAGCCCTGTATCAGGCTCCATGCTTAGCAGGGAGTCTGCTTGAGATTCTCTTTCCCTCTGCCTCTGCCCCTCCCCCTGCTCTTTCTCTAGCTCCCTCTCTCTCAAAAAACATAAAAAATAAAAAAATACGTTACTTACATTCCACTCTGTCCCTCAACATTCAAGTTTATATCATAAGAAATCCTAAAATGTATAGGAGTTATCTTATAAGAAATGTCCATGTAGGAAAAAATGGAATACTCTGCATGCTTATGGTGGAATATAAGGAGGAAATACCAAAACATTCTTTTCCTTTTTTAATTAAGATATAACTGACCTATAACACTGTGGAAGTTTAAGGTGTATGTTTATATATTACAAAATGATTACTAGAGTAGTGTTAACACCTTTATCATGAGGCTGGGGAATTGGGGAGATGTTATTTACTAGCAAATAAATAAATTCTGGAGTTCTTTTTTCCTGTCTAATCCTTCCAAGGTGTACCTGATAGAATGTGCCTTGGATAATTTAAAACTGCAACATGCAAGTCTAGATCTAGACCTTTTCCTAAGGGAATAAATGTCCCCAGGCATTTACCAATCCTTACTTTTATCCTACATCCTCACTTAGACAATGTCTGTCTGGTGTGAGCATGAAGTGACAAGCTGGCATCTTCAACACATAAAAGTCCTATGTCCAAATGGGTGCTGTCATTCGTGAGGGGGGGGCGGGGAGCAGTTAATACAATTACTCCAAAGTTCACAACTTTGTTCCAACACTGTTTTAAACTATCTCCAGAATAAAGAAACTCAATGTCATTCTTTCATATCCTGGTCAATTTCCTTCTTCAATAATCCACTTCAGCCACACCTGGCACCACATAAAATCCAATTACTCTTTACTCCAATTACTCTGATCTCAGATTCAGGGAGGCATTTTCCCCAACAGCCTCTTTATCATGCTCGGCAGCATTGCTAAAACACACATGGGACACCTAAGAAGATACTCTAAAAGGAAAACTCTCAATTGTAAGAATTTTAGTTTTTTTTTTTTTTTTTGATTTGATTTATTTATTTGAGAGAGCAAGCATGGGGAGCCCTACTTGGGGCTCGATCCCAGGATCCTGGGATCATAACCTGAACCTAACTGACTGAGCCACCCAGATGCCCTCCCCTTTTTTTTAAGATTTTATTTATTTGAGAGAGAGAATTTTAGTAGTTCTATTAAAAGTTGAATTTTATCATGGCACCCAGGATGTAGTCTCACAAATAATCCTTTTTTAAGGAAAAAGTGTTGACTTTTCAAGATAAACTAAAAAAAAAGTTGAAATTAAGTGGGATATATGTCAAAATAAGTCTTGGCTTCCAAATTCTAAAGAGAAAATTAAAATTCTACATGAACTTTTCTTTCTTTCTAGTAATTCAGGAAGAAAAAAAAAAAAACAGATGACTCTTACCAAAGTTTGTTTCTTCAATAGTGGAGCATCCCCATCAAACACAAAAATAGGACGAATTCGAAAAAATAAGAGTTTGCAGAGCCGATGAAACAAAGTGAGAAGATGGGCATTTTCTATTGAGTTCCCATGGCGATCCCGGACTCCTCTTAGTGCCTGGTTTAACCAAATACTGATATCTGGAGGAATTGTTAAAGGAAAGTGTTTTGGAATTTCTTCCCTCATCCCCACAATTTCAACTTCCCAATAACTGATATTATCTAAAGACTAAAACTAAGCCCTCATCACAGTTCATGTGAAACTGAAAAATGTTTAGCCCTGATGGAATCTGCCTAAAATCCGTTAACTTTATTTGAACCCTTGTTACTGTTCGCAGACTGGTTTTAAAACGTTACATCGACAGATGTGTCCTTTAAAATATCTAATTGCAAACGCTTCTTTAAAAAAAACTAATACGCTCTATAGAATTTTAATAAATTAGCACAACTCTTGTGGAGAATAATTTGGCAATCCATAGCAAAAAATGTAAAAACTGACATTCTATTTTACTCCTTCTATCTCCAGACACTTATTCTCAGAAAATCATCATAGATTTACAGTAAGAGTTACTTCTAAGAATGTCTGCAGTGATAAAAATATGATAAATGGGGCGCCTGGGTGGCTCAGTTAAGCGTCTGCCTTTGGCTTAGGTCATGATCCCAGGGTCCTGGGATCGAGCCCTGCATTGGGCTCCCTGCTCGGCGGGAAGCCTGCTTCTCCCTCTCCCACTCCCCCTGCTCGTGTTCCCTCTCTCGCTGTGTCTCTCTCTGTCAAATAGATGAATGAAATCTTTAAAAAAAGAAAGAAAGAAAGAAAATATGATAAACAATGTAAAAGTTTTCCAACAGGTCTTTACTTAAACTAAATTGTGATATACCGAATTGTTGGAATATCAAACAGCCCTCAAAAAAGGAAGCTACGGAAGCATCGATAGTGATAAGAAAGACAGGCACAAAATTATTAAAGGACACAAAACAGGTTACAAAACAATGGAATGCATAATTACGTTTTATAACATGTGATCCGTTAAATACAAAAAACTAGAAGTTCAGATGCCAAAATATTAAACAATAGTTAGCTCTTCTGTAAGTAATTTATGTTTTCTTGGGTGTTTTCTTATGTTTAACTTTTGTAAAAACTGCTTCTTACCAAATTATTTCCTATTTGTCCATAAGACAGAGGGAAGTGGCACCGCTGGTGTTCCTGCTCTGTCTCTTCCCCCGCTCCCCTAACTCGCCACTCAAGAGCGACTTCAGCAGAGCTCTCCTGCGGGCCCTTCCCCTCCCCCTGCTGTACTGGCTGCCCAGGCTACCTTAGCACCCCACACCCACTTCGTGTGTGCAGGCTGCCCCAGGGCTCTGTCCTGACGCCGACTAGATGGTCTTGCAGACATTCCCAACTTGACATGATCAAAACTGAACTCCACATCTTTTCTTTTTTTATTTAAATTCAATTTAGTTAACATACAGTGTATTATCAGTGTCAGGGGCAGAATTTAGTGAGTCATCAGTTGCATATAACACCCAGTGCTCATTACATCACATGCCCTCCTCAACGCCCATCACCCAGTTAGTTATCCAATCCCCCCACCCACTGCCCCTCCAGCAACCCTCAGTCTGTTCCCTGGGAGTCTCTTACGGCTTGTCCTCCCTCATCTCCATGTCTCTTCTGCCAGGCTGCTTATGCCCCCATTGCAGTGAATGTTACCCCAGTCACCGAAGCCAGAAGGCTCAATGCCATCCCCTATGTTCCCCTCATCCAAACACTACCGGATTCTATCAATTCCATCTTTTAATGTATCTTGAAGGTAGACCCTTCCTGCCTCCAGGGGCCTCTCACATGCTCCTTCCGCTGCCTGAGTTTTTCCCTCTCTTAGCTTAGTGTTCTCTCATAAGTCTCAGTCCATGGGTCACTTCCTCAGCCCAGATAAAGACCTCCAGTTATACGTTCCTATTCAAAAATGTATTGCTGCTCATGTGGCAGAAATCCCACTGGAGATACAGGCCTGAACAAAACAAAGGGTTTGCCCTTGTGGAGTTTACAATCTAACGGAGGGAAAAACCAAACCATGAGCTCCATGCCTTGTCTAGACTACACTTCTGTGCGCTGCTCTCTCTTTCACAGGGCATGTAGGAGGCAACAAATACTTGCTATTAATGAGCTGAACAGTTAAGTATTTAAATGAATGTACATTACCTAATTTATAACCATAAAACAAATTGGCCCCTCAGCAATTAACTCAATAAACACTGTAACAAAATAACTAGTGGAAAGCAAGCTATTATTATACTCATTCCAATATTTGAGTGCTACTATGTGCCAGCATATCCAAGGTCCCAAGATCTTGGGATGGGCAGCAAACAACATAGCCCTGAACAAAACAGATACTGTGTCTATCTCCAAGAAACGTGCACTCTACTGGGGAAGATGGACAGTAAAAAAGAAAAAAAAATGAAGCAATAGATATATAATACCACTATATGTTACAGATATACTGTAATACATAGAGTTCTGTAACACAAAAAAGCAAATCGAGCAGAGTAAAAGGACGAGCCTGGAGGCCAGTGCAGAGCTCAGTCAACACCAAATCCTCCTTCCAGGGCATATCCTTTACCCTACCACCTCTCTGTCTCACCTTTTACTAGGGCTATTATAACTAGTTTTAAAACTAGTTTCAAAGAAAAAAACAAACTAGTTTCCTAAAGGACTTAGCTCTGCACTGTACTGGATAAACATTTCTGCTTGGCTTTTTTCTGGTTGCTACACTGTTGCACAGGACTAAGTTTCCACTTAAACCATGACTTTAAATGTTATAATCAATGAGAAAATCTAATTTCAGATCAGTGGCTCTCAACTTCTGCTATCTTTTCGAACTGTATATAAAGCTTTTAAAACATAGATTACTAACATACATATGCCTAAAATTCTAAATCCTAGAAACTACGATGGGTCTTTTTTTATTATTATTATTCATAGGTAGTCTCAACTAGGGTTAAAAGTTCCAGCTCGAAATTATTTTTTTAAAATACATGTAAAACTAGGCATTCTGAAAATATGTGCATAATTTGACTTGTCTAATTTCCGTAATTTCTTTTTTATAAAAAGAAAATAAATTTTCTTTTTATAAAGAAAAAAGGGGAACATTAAATTTGTCCCAGGGCTGAAAAAAAGTTAAATCCACAGCAAAGCCAGATCATTTTATAGAGAAGACCCAAAGGATCAATAACATTTTGAAATGAAAGATAAATTACTTTAGTTCTATTGTTAGGTGACTTACAATTTAATATCCGTTAGTATGCATAGTCTAAATCTAAAGAAAGTGTAATATTTTGCTAATAGACTTAAATGCATTTCACAAATGTTAAGGCCCATAAGAGATTAAAGTTAAACTGTTATTGGATACATTTAGATTGTATAAATAAACAAGGCACTCACCTATAGATGGTTAAAAATATATTTTAGGAGACCAAGAGTAAATTATGAACCTAGTGTGTCATGGATAATTTCTTAACCAGGAAGACAAAAAATGTAATATAGGTCAGATATTTGAATGTGAATTCCCATGAAAATGAAACAAAGCAAAATCAATTATAAAACATCAAATATTCTTTTACGTATGTATTTATACACATATACATATGAGATTGTAATTATAACTGGAAGATCTTTGCAGTCCTCTTTATATGATTTGTCCCTTCAGAAAAAATAACCTCATGAAAATTACTTCATGTCCCAAAACTGCTCCTGAGTCATCTAAAAATAGATAATCTAAATTCTAAATTAAATGCTTTAACCTCCTTCCTTTGGGCAACTTCCTAAAAAATTAGAATGCCGAACTTCATGCGTCATCTTAATGATGTTACTAGTTATTAATTCTTCATAGGGGCTACGACATACAATACCTAAGTCAGCTGAAGTTTGAAGGGTTCCTGTTACTGAAAACTGTGCTTTCCTTCACATTGGGTTCTAGGAAGAAAATTTTCAGAAAGCAGTGATTCGACGAACCACTAGAGGGCAGCAATCGCACACGCACGCACGCGCACGCGCACGCACACGCGCGCGGTATCGTGCATAAAAACGTTTAAGCAAACAAAACTCACTACGGATGTATTTCAAGATTATTCACACTGAAAAAAATATCATCATCATCTTAACTTTGAAAAATTACCACTGTCCCATTAGGTGTAAGTTGTCTCCATAGTAAATAACGGCTCCTCTCTCAGTGGCTCCTTCCGCGGGATTCCCAGCTATTCTTACACTGCACTTAGCACCGACAGCAGTTATTCACACGACTGTCTCCACCTCGCTTATGAACTCCTGGGCTCCCAGGTTCCCGGAGGGAACTGGCGGAAGGCACCACCAGCTTCCAGAACGGCCACCCAGAAGAGGAGGCGGCGGCTACTCAACGGATAAAAAGACCAAAACTTCAGAAACAGCATTCATATGTTTTGACAAAGAAGAAAAACGTCTGATTACAGAAACAGCAAACCAGCCAACACAGACACAGACGACAGTCCCTTATAAAAGTCCATCGCAGAGGCTGGGAGGAAACGAAGCCCAACACTGTGCGCCTTCGGATGCCTCTCCAGTGTTGTACCCATCAGTTTCCTGTTCCAAAACTCGTAATAAAAAACCATGAGAGTTACTTTTAAAAAAGCAAAACGGTGAAACACCTGTTCCCACTATCCTAGCAAACCTGAGTGGAGCCGGACTCAGGACGGCAGGTGAACTGCGGGGGCGAAGTCCACTCCCGGTTCTCCACGCCGACCGCCCAGCAGGACAGTATTTTTAGGCTTGACAATGTTAACTAAGCTCCTCTTACTTACACAGCCCCTTCTTCCTCACACCAACCCCGTGTGCAGGTACATACCGCTGTCGCCCCCCAGCACCGCCCCTGAGTGCTAAGGCCTGAGGACCGCAACCCAGCGAGGCGGGACGGCAAAGCGGGGACAAGCAGACGCCCCGAGAAAGAAGACGTCGAGAAGGGGATGCCATCGCTACCCTGAGAGGGGCTGTCATCCTACCAAAACCATTCCGCGCTCAGGGAGAAGCCCGGGGCGCGCAAAACACCTGCGCGAGTCCCCGCACCGAGAACACGTCAAGGATACCCACGGCGAGGATCTTCCCTTCCAGCGTCTCC